AGAGCAGTGAAAGTGAGTGAGACAAGCCCGTACCTGTCTCACCCTAAACCCTGGAATAACTGCACATTGTTTTAACAAGTGGTCTCCTCCATTAGTCTTTACTGCCATTATAAAACCTGTGCTCAGCTGGGTCCCCACACATCGCATTCTTTTTCGCTATTTGCTTGTGCAGAAAACACCAACTGTAAGTCCTGGCCAGTTTAAATCTTTATAGTTGAATTGATTGAAAAGCGCCCCTTTTTTGGGGCCTATTCCTGATTTCCTGATTTTATGGTGAACACAGGGTTTGCTTACGTGAAAACTTCAAAGCAAAACATCCCCTGAGAGTAACAGAGAGTAACAATACAAAAGAGAAAGTACTCAGTCACCTGAGAGTGTAAAGGACATTTCCTTTCCCCACATAATGAAATAAAACAGCCTATCTGCCCATTTTCTAGTTTGGTCTTATTTCTATAAACGTATATTATTTATATGTCCATTGTAAAACATTGCCGCCGGTTCGATTAGCTTAGCATAAAGACTAGTAACTGGTTGTAATGCAGCTAGCTTGGCTCGGTCAAAAGGTAACAAACAAATGAACATGTTATATCAAGTTTTTTTAGTCTTGTTTAATTCCAACACCAAACCACAGTATTATTTATCACTATTCAGTGTTTGAGCAGATTAAACAAACATAGTTTGTGTTATTATGGGGGATTTTTTACTAAGAGCTTGGCTAGCTGCTTTCCCCTGATTGCAGACTTTGTGCTATGCTAACTCTATGCTAGCTAGAGCTAGATCATGTTAAGCAAACAAAAGAGTGGTGTTTGTTGAGCTCTCAGCAAGAAAGAAAAAATGCTCAAAACAGCAACGTATTCCAGATTCACTTTGCATCTGCTTGCCTTATTATACAGCTTTTACTCCTGAAACTGAATTGATTCTCCAAGAAGAACATTTTAGTTGCAAAGTTCAAATGGGATAGATAGTTACAAACACAACTGCAAAATAAGAGCAAACAGACAAAACACTGGCAAAAAGGCAAAGATCTTTCTTTCAATTAACATTGAAACGTTAAGGTTCAGATTGCCTCCATTCTGTTTCTCACTCGATTTCTTTGTGGAAATCAGGGACAAAAAGGGGAAAAAGAGACACTTGGGAGAAGGGATAGGTCACTGAATGAAACAAAGAAGATAGGAGACTAAAATGAAAAGTAAAGATGAGGAAGAAGCATCTGCAGCTGCAGGGAAGTAGAGGACTTCAAGCAGCAGAGGCAGTAGATTTTAACCAGATGCAGAACTTTCACAGTGAACGTCAGCCAACAGGCATGTACTCATGCTTCAGCTATGTCATGGGCTGCCTGCTCTACCCTGAAACCTCCCCCTTTCTTCATGCTCTCCCTCACTCTACTCATTTAACCTCTCCGTCTCACCTACCCCTCTTCTCTAAACCCAGTCAACCCCCTCTCCCTTCATCTCCCTTCATCTCCCTTCATCTCCCTTCATCTCCCTTCATCTCCCTCTGTGCTTGCTCTGACTCATCCACTATATAAGCAGATGTTTGACAAAAAGGGGACATGGACTGCGTATTGTTGTGAATTTAATTTGGGTAATAATTAGGGTGGCGAAAGTAAAGGAAAAGGCTTTAAAATACAATGACCGTGTCCATGAAAAACCAAATCTACAGGGTGCGAGTTTTGTCCGACTGAGTGAGTTTGAACAGACACACAAGGCTTGCATTTGCTATGATGGTGATTTTCCATCGAGCAGAGAGAGAGCGAGGGAGAGAGACAAAGACAGCCAGAGACAGAGAGGGAGGGAGGGGGAGGGACCAGACAAAAGCAAAGGAGGAAAAAAAACATCTGTAATTCTCAAATGGAATTTCTTCCATCATGAGCCAAACCTCCCAATGTAACCAGCAGAGGAGGTCGACACACGCGGAGACTCTGGTGGATCCAGTGGCCTACATACACTTTAGATCAACACATGCCCCGCCTACAGTGAAATTAGGAAGACTTTTAACCAAAACTACCAGACCAACGTGTGGCTTGTTCAAATCGTCAATCGTTCACAATTAAAGAAATACAATAAAGATCTGTTTTGTTCATCATGATTTAGTTCTTTGCTTTAGATGATACCTTAAACAGTAATTGGGGACAGAAACGTAACTAAAGATATTGAATCGCCCAAAAAACACAACAAGGAGTCTCCGTGATGATGACGTCAGGCCAGACGTCGTCCAAGCGACCAGACTATAGCGGGGGGTTGAGGACTTTACTGATGACTGTAATGTGGGAAAAACTACCCCTGCCACTTTAAGACTGTGCCCGCCACACGGCTCCATAAGGATATAATGCATTCCAGATGTGGCGGAGGCTTTTTGTTTGTTGTGTTTTTTAGGTATTCTCTCTCTCATACACATACGTGTATCCATAATCACAAACAAAGAGTAGCCTGTGTACGTGATCTCACAGGTTCTGCACACATTAAAAATGTTGCTCTCAAAACAAGAAACACGGCTACGCAAAGTAGCATATTCAAAGTGCAATGCATGAAACGTAAAGAATGTCAAGCCAGAGCTACGAGCTCCTGTGGAGTTAAGTAACTTGCACTCACGCTGAGCAATTAGTTTATTATCAAGTTAAACATGATGTCTTTATATACAACCAAGTCTCACAGCAAAACGTATAATAGCTACGTTGGACCAACGTGGTATTCTCACGCTTTCTCCCACAAATCACGACGGTACGACGTTTTATTTTGGCCCATTCATTTACATTGCCTTGCAACTACGTCACTAGAAACTAATAAACGGAAGGACTTCTAAGTTCACCGATAGAAGATTATGAAAATATAACGCATACTTCTCGCTAGAAATGCCATCAAAATGCATACAAATGCCGATGCTTTCTTAAAATATTGTGTTTTTCACAGATAATAGACCGACAGTCGGCCATTTTCTTTTTTTAGCTGAGGGAAAGTTAATAGTCACGTGACCTAGTTGCAACTAAAACGTTCTATTCTCACGCTTTCTCCCCAAAAGCGTGAGAATACCACGTTACACGTTTTGCTGTGAGACTGGGTTGTTATATATGTCTGTCCTGCTGTTCCTGGTGCTTTCAGTCAAGTGTTATTCACAGACAGAAACATCATAAACGGATCGAATTCTCTTCTTTTGTGTCTTATACGGTTTGTATCATCCTACACGTAAGGAAAATACATAAAGGCTTTAAAAGGAGGAAGACCGAGTCAAACGAGAAGAGACGCAGATCTGTTCAAATGAATGTATTTTTTGAAAGTTGTTGTGAAGGGTGGTGTTGGGGGGTTGAGGACCAGGTCAGTCTGGGCTACCTTATATGTTATTACTGACATAGTCAACTATTGTCTAGAAACACTAAGCTATTGGTGGATGGCTCCTCCGTAGCCAAATATGTTGTAGAGGAGTCTGCATGGCCGTTCTGTTCATTCTGTTTGCAGAGGCGGGCCTAGTTTTGATATATTACTTACTTTTGTTAGGTTCAACCACAGGTCCCGGCCTCCCGCACTCGGAGTACAGACTTGCATGAAATAGTCTTTGAAAGATAATTTGTGTAAATTGCAAATCAGTTAGTGTGTAACTTTCTCCAACTGACTGTTCTGTGTTTGTTCCCCACGCCGTCCCTAGACAAACTCAAATAGGGGACGTAACTGTAGTGAACACACTTGGTCTGCCATGAACTTCCAAACTCACCTGGAGGTTTCCTGAAGCAAGCCAAATTTTCACAGATTGGTGTACTGCGCTTTCCTAATGCTTCTAATCCATTGGGATTAATGCATTGTCATTGTGTTAAAGGTGCAATTTGTAATGAAAGCCAATAGCAAACTGCTGGAACTTTGACAGGCAAAATAATACAACTTATTTTTATTATCTTCACTGTCGTGTGCATTTCATACAAAAAATAATTTATTTGGGGTTTTGTCCTTTACGCTACCTGTAACTCACTTGTAACCGTCAGTCAGCAAACTGGTGTTCTTTGACACGTGATGCCTGTGATTTGTGGTTATTGTGTTTTTTGTTTTCTGTCAGACTTCTAACTATTCACATCCCCTAAATGCATTTGGATTTTGGTGTAGAACTCTGCCTTTTTTGGAGTTTTGTAACCACAACATTGTGCCTTAACTCTGTACATCTTAACAGCACAACGGGACAGAAATGCTCCCTGCAGTAACTGGAATTGGTAAACGGCAAACTTTAGTTGCCCCTTTTTTCTTTTTTTTCCTCCTCTTTCCTCTACTGCACTGTGTTTTCTCTGGACGGCAAACCCTAACATTTAGACTGCAGACAAAACCCTGGATCCGTAGAAGCTGTGCTACAGGCAGAGAAGAGCCGAATGCAAGGAGCAGTGGGGGAAGGAGATGAGGAGTGATGATGTGGAGCTTATGACACTGGGAGTCCTACTCCGATTGAGGAGGGATGTTAAAGGGTTTGTCTTTCTTCCATTTCATTATCTCCACGTGTTTTTCTTTGAAACGTATTTGCTCATTATCAGAGCTCCAGCTCCTCCTTGCAGGACAACAAGGGGTCTTGTAGAAGTAGAGGCTCCTCCTGTTGTCACAGTGTGTCGTACCCATCGACGGTTTGGGGAAACTCCTCACTTCCTTCAATTTCCTGTCTTCTCCCTTAACTTATCACAAATGTTTCATGCAACCGCTCTGTGTGAGCTGTAAACGGGGTATCCAAGGATAAGTCCCCCCCCTCCTGCGCCACAATGCCAAATGGTCATTCTTATTACATGTAGTATTTTGATGTTTTATACTATGCTCAGTCTACTAACATTAGTCTTTCTCGTACTGTACTTTGAATGCCCGAGTGCTGTTGATGTTCTTTCTGTTGTCCAGGTATTTTCCAGCCGTAGCTTCAACAGTTTTACTGCTGCACCCCCCCTGTGGCTGAGCGGGTGGAAAAAGTGACACAGCAGCAGAGTGAACTGCAGAAGATAACGCTCTTCCCAGACAGCGCTAAAATGTAGACAAAAAAGATAGCAATTTAGTTTTGCAGGATTTATTCAGAATACACAAACAGTGGGCAGTTACAAATGTCTGTGGAGACGGAAGTGGATGATATTCCACACACATAGACGGTGTCTGGATCTTTAGATGTACTATAGTTCTCCACCATGTACCAAGTTAAACAACTAAACTCAGACCAGAGACTTTCAGCTGTGACCTAAGTCGTCTCTGTCCTCAGGCTGCGTCGTTCTCACCGCAAGCTCGGGGAGGTTTAAGAGGTGCACTTCCCTCAGCGAGGATCCGCCAGGTGTTTTCTGTGGCAGCCGGAGGTTTGATTGGTGGCAGGTGGCAGACTGTTCGAGTGCTCCGTTGAGCCCAGACAAGGCCGAGTGGAATCCAGAGGAGCAAGGCCTTAAGGGCATTACAAATACATGGTCTCAGTTCACATTTATTGATCTTCATTTTGCAAGGTTGTACAGGGGTCTGTATTGCACACGTGCATAGTTTAGATTTAAGATATGAAAATAAACAGAGGGCGACTTTAATTTAAAATTCAGTAATATGCATAAATCAAGCCTGCAGGAGAGACAGATGCAAATTTTACAAAGTGGCCCTATTATGGAATTACAACTTCTGATCTGTCACGTAATGCCATGGTGTCCTAAACAGTTATTAACTTGCTGCCAAATTCAGTTATTTATCTTCTCTGCCACGTTCATATGCACAGAGCCAGAGAACGAGGTGCTCGCACTCCGTAATGTGAAACATCCGGGTATTTTCATCTGAATTTCCTAATAAATAGGCATGTTTTCTTTCTTTTTTTAAACGTTTAATTGGTTGATTCTTGAATCATGACGCGTTCAGTAGAGAAGAAGCCATAGTTCAATCAGTATCTGTGGTAGTTTAATGTGACCACTTTCTGCTTTACACCCGTCCTGCTCCGACCCTGAAGCCGCTGGCCTGAATCTGCTGTACCAGCGTTACTGTTTGGGATTGTGTGGGTCAAATGCTTCAGGCTGTCACTCTTGTATCACATCTTTGGCTTTCATATAAACTAATTAAGTTGATTTTATTATCGGTTTTGTCAAGATAAAAAAGCCCACCAGGGGTTTTAGTACAGCAATATGATTGTTAGAAAAGAATGTTGTTCCCGCCTCCAACTCTTCAGTAGATTGTTCTCCTCCTCCTTCCCATCTGTGAAATCATTCAAGTTCGGGGGAGGTCTGGGGGAGTCGTTTTACTTCCTTGTTGTCACACCGACTGAAGCCAGAGAGGCCAGGCCTCACTGAAGACTGTGAGCTGAGCTGAAGAGTATTTTTAAACAAAACTCCTCTTGGATACACCTTCAAATCGGTTTCCTTTTGAGAAAACAATTCCTGCACCTCATATCAAAGTGTTAAATGATTTTGCTTCCACTGAAAAGCATTTTCCACCTCAACTTTCACCTCACATCTGTAACTCTTGTTTCCCACCCATGATACTGGCTGCGGGGATCCCACCCTCTCTGTGAGTGTAAGTGTCTTGAGGAAGACAGTGACAGGATGGAAAGAACAAGAAAGAGGAAAATCAAAGAGAGAAAAGAGAGAAACACTCTTTATTATTGTGGAATGCGGACCAAGAACCGAACAGTTTCCATACTGGGGTGAAAAAAAGAACCCTAAGATTCCTCCCTCCCCGAAAGTTCAGCCAGTCTGCGTCCATCCCACCAGAATAAAACTGTAGGACATTTAAAAGAGGTGGAGTTACTGAAGGGAGGTGACAGCAGGAGAGAAGTTGATGTTTCCGATTTCCATCATGTCTTAATACCAGTACCACGATGTGTCGTGTTCACTATTTCTTTGCAGGGCCCCTCTCTAACGTATGTCATTGACTGCTTAACAGCGCTAAGAGTCCCTGTCCTGTCTCTCATAGGGACAAAGTGGTACTTTATGATGCACGCTGTTTCATTAGAAACCTTTTGTCCGAAGGCTCTTTTAAAAACTCTCGTTTGTCGTTTACCACAGAGGTAGAGCGCATTTTCTCTTTTCTCTGCTGTGTCATCTGGGTCTCTGAGTGCATTTTCCCAGATGTGTAATGATAAACTGCTGGGTTAAACTCGCCCCTAACGAGAGAGAGAGAGAGAGAGAGAGAGGGGGAGAGAGAGAGAGAGAGAGAGAGAGAGAGAGAGAGAGAGAGAGAGAGAGGGAGAGAGAGAGACTCCAGACAGCTGAACTCACTTAAATGTGTTCCTCATGTGTGCCGTAATATGGAAAGGATTTCGGCGCTCTCGCCTCCACTCACCATAACTGAGCTTAACCCTTCCACAGCCAAAACGCTCCCGTTCAGGGTAGTTTACAACTCTTTATCGTTTTTCAACATCTGCACACACACAACTGTACAGTCAGATTGCAAACTTCGTTTCAACTAGCCGGAAACTATGTCTCAGTGACTCTAAATGGCTTAATTTCTATTTTTGTTCAAGGGCTAAGCAATATGCTATAAGTCTGCTGTGCCTCCTGTGACTTTTGGGAAGACTATGATTTAATTTTGGGGTTTAAGTTTACAGAAAGAATGTTGACCAATTAAAACCATATTGCTACAACACACAATGCTAATATCAGCATGCTAACCTTCTCGCTGTGACAAAAGGGTGCTGCGGTGCCATGGTAAATGGTAAATGGTATTTTTTTATTGGATTTTGGATTACAGCAAACGATTAAGAAGGCAGGTTAATGCAATTACGTGTTTTATTCTGAGAGATGTCTCTACGGTATATTATTCTGTGTAAATGCCATCGGCAGAGTTGAAAAGCGTTCTATGCTACAAACGAAATACACCTCAGACGATGTCAACAACACTACGTTAAAGACAGAGTAGTTCTTTTTATGCACGTCAGTCCCTCATTATCAACCACCTTTTCTATGACAATAAAAACTTAAATTCATAGGTGGAATATTAGTCGTAGTTTTTATCATAGAAAATCTCTATGTAAACTAGACTCTTTTCAGGCAACTCATGTAAAAACCATATAAGACTCATCAACCTCAAGACAGGGGGAAGCTCAAATACTTAGCATGTTAGTGACTAACTAAGGTACAGGTGAGGCTGTTTAGGGAGAATCCTGTCTGCCCATAAACAAATCAAAAGTTAAAGCTGGATTGGTTGGTAAGGATGGTCTATGACAAACATGTCAACCAGTTGATGAAGCTGGTTGAGGAGCCAATCGGATCGTCTTCATCAGTCTGGGCCCAAGTGGCGGACCGACCGACTAACTTACTCCTCCCTCGGGGCAACTGTAGCCAACAACTGCCTCTGGGGGACTTCCTCCACCTGATGAGGCATTGAGTTGGTGATCAGCACGTTGATATTCGGATGTGAATATTAATGTCAACATACTGATATACTGACAATGTGACGCACTCCTTTTAACAATGTTTAAATCAGAAAGTGACTATTGGTCATTCATTTAGTGACATTTAGTGAGTAACTGAAAAAGCACCTGCATTCCTTAGACTGAATTCATGATTTTTTTAAATCAACCACCAAAGGACAACCCCCCACTTCTTATCTCCAATCCACCAAAGCCTTGACTGACCTCTGTCTAAAGATCAACTTAACTCTTTTGCATGATGATTCTGCAGCCTTTGTAAAAGAAATATAAAAGAAAAGCATTCTCTCTCTTTACACTTCTATGAGTTGGACTTTATTTTCCTCTCTCAAACCACGGCTCAGCTCTATCTAGCAATTAACCGGCTGCCGTGGACCCTGGTGACATTGTGCGGGGATATTTCTGTCACGTTTATTATGCGTTTGCTGACCAGACTGTGAGTCATGTGGACACACATGCATATCTAACCATGAGTTAGTCCCAGCCAAGGGAGGTTCCCTACTTTGATTTTTTTTTCTCGTTTGCCTTTTTACTTCCCTGCAATTCTCACGTTCTTTCTCATCACTCGAGCTCTCTCATTGACAGAAAAGCTTTTCGGTGGGACTCGTCTTTGCTTTGATTTTATGCAAAAGAAAAATATGCAAGAAGCCCTTTTTTTGCTCGAGAAAAAGCTGTTTTCTTATAAGTGATTAAGAGCTATTCCCCGTGACTCAACTTCTCCACCCTGCTCGCTTGTGTTTCCTGACACGTATTTATACTCTCCCTTACCCGTACCCCTCACTCCCACCCATCCCCAAACAGACATTAGAGCAGCTCCTCAATAAGCCCGCCTCCCTTTAGCACAAGTTCAAGAAATGGATTCCACTGGAAAAAGCCTGCAGATGTGGTGAAATAAGGGAGGGGAGGAAGACGGGGAGCAAGAGAGGCAAAGATGAAGAGTTGGTGGGGAGACGCTGAAACGATACAAGAAACCAGGGAAAGATCACATATAAGAATGAAGGGAATGAGCGAGAAAAGGTGTTAGGGACACAAATACTCATGTCCAACTAGGATGAAGTATAATTTGAAGCACTTAAAGCAAACGAGAGCTCCTTTAGAAAGCCCCGGCGAGTCTCTCACTATAGTTCTCCCCCGGTTCCTTCCCTCCTGGGTGCTACAGAGTCAGTCGGCAGGGGGAATAGTGCCGGGGGGGCCTCGGCATGCCGAAATGCGCTCGGGCCTGTCGGGCCAACAAGGGAGCTGGATTCTTTGACTCCGCCAGCCTTTTTGATCGTCGTGCTCCAAGACTGGAGCCTGCAAGTGCCTGCAGCCTCCGGGTTCTCCTCTCGATCTGCATGGAGCTAAATCCACATGCCTGAATATTTCTGTTGCCTATTGCTGCTGCTTTCTTTTAACTGACTATCTGAAGGTGCAGTGGTTCATCACCAAGATTAAATAAAGAGGTATTGACGTTACTCGTTTAACCTCTGATCATCTGGGGAGGGGGGGGGTGTATTAACAAACCAATGATCTGCACCCCGACATTGTTTAAACCGGGAGAACAACATCATGCATTTTAGTTGAATTCCTGAAGTTTGAGCTGAAGATGTGAGCGGAACATGGTCTGGTATGAACCGTACCTGTAGATATGTGTCACATTGATCATTCAGTTCCCATATAACTGCAGCAAGATGACTCTGGTGTTTGGTCAGTTTTTTAGCATAATGATCCTACTCATCAACACAACTTTTATTTTTTTAGGGAAATGGAAATTTACAACTGTTGACTTTTTTACCGATTTTTAAGACAGTCCGTCAAATCTGCATCATCTCCTGATTCCCGATTGTACAAGCTGACAGTAGTTTAGAAATGCTTTATTATTTATTATTTAACTCCTTTCTTTTTAGAGAGCCAGAGTCAAAGTTTTCAGTTTTCCCAACGTTGATACTGTGTGGAAAGTCAGTTTCAAGTTTGGGAGGAGAAATACAAAAACTGACTGGAATATAGGCTGTAATTTAGAAACCTCAACCTCCCCAGCATGTCTGCTGTGTGTGTGTGTGTGTGTGTGTCTGTGTGTGTGTGTGTGTGTGTGTGTGTGTGTGTGTGTGTCTGTGTGTGTCTGCGCAGTGCCCTGTTTAATTAGTGCCTCTATCTGTGTGTGCGTGTCACAGTATGTCTGAACCCTTTTATCCATCACTCTGCTTCCTTTAACTGTTTTTAAATCTTTTTCTCATCTCTGTCGTCTCCCTGTCCCTGTCTGTGTGAGAAGATTATACGGTGTGTGTGTGTGTGTGTGTGTGTGTGTGTGTGTGTGTGTGTGTTTGCACCTCCTCTTTAAACTCTCTCTTTCTCCCTGCCCTTCACGATCACGTTGTCCCGTTTCCAACTGCTTAAAGACACATTTCATGCTAAACACAAGAAGCAAAAACAGGCCATTCTCTCAGAGCAATGCTTAAAATAAATAAACACCTATCAGCGGATGTTCTTCTCGCTCTAATGCAACGAAGCAACGGCTCCACATTTCCATCCGAGCATACAGCTGAACAAATCTGATCTCCTTGGTTTTGTGCTCTTTTCCTCCCCAGCTGACCGACAGGTGGACAGTCATCCCGACGTGAGAGGATCCTCTCCACCCGTCCTCCCTGGCGCTCTCTCTCTCTCTCTCTCTCAGAATGGAAATGTGAGACGCAGTGAGACGAGGCCGGTGACTACGTTACTCCAACGGGCCAATCAGAGCGTGGCACATCTGGAGGAATCTGTCTGCAGGCCCAGCTGGAAGCACTACAGGAGACAGCAGAGGAGAGGAGAGGAGGAACATGTGAGATTCAAGATGGCTGAGGGATTAAATGAAATAAAAGGACGTTGAAAGGAATACATGTTGTTTGTCGTTTAATTTAGCTGACCTCACCGAAAAAGCACGGCTGAAGGAGCAATTCGCTTTGATGGCATTTAACATTTAGCTGTGACCAATGTTGAACTGGGCGATAGGAGTGACACAGTGTGAGCGTTTTTTCCGGCGTGTCCCATTTGCAGATGTTTCCCAGGAGAACACCGACGTGTATGAATGAAGACATCAGTAAACGAACCCTTTGCAGATGCATTGTATACTTGCTGACCCCCGGTGATAAATTGACCCATGCAGGACACACTCACAATGTCGTGGAAGAGAGACATTGTCTCTTGAAAATGGCAACTACAACTTCTTCAGTGTAGGATGACTGGAAAAATGTATTGTGAAGTAAATAACAGTGAGTGCCTCGTGGGTGGGTGTGTTTTTTTAAGGCTAATCTTCTTGAAGAAGAAAGAGCAAAAAAGCCCTGATATGAAAAGATAAAACTGACTGTTTTGTGTGAAACGTGGAGGAATCAAGAGGGAGGAGGGGGGGGGGGGGGGGGGGGGGGGGGGGGCGGGGAGTATGATGATGTGGAGCTTTGCTGCCATCTTTGATTTCCTACGCCGCCTGTCTGGACTCTCCGGCTACTTCGAGGCTTTAGCTCCTCAGCAAACATGGGAATGTAACTCTGCAGCGAGTGGGAGCGCTGCCACCTTTAAAACACATTTCATCTCGCTCGCCCCTCCCCTCCTTTTCTTTCCTCTGTCTTTCTATCTTTCTGGTTCGACTCAGGGAAGAGGTGAAGAAAAGTTGTCAGGAGTGTCCAGCAATTCGGTGGCTTTTTGTCGCAGAGGGGGAAGGAAAGGGAACGGGCCTTTCTGTCGGCACGAGGCAAAAGAAATCTATTTGGGATAGTTCAGTCAACTTTGATATATCAGGATATAACCTCTTACGTTGTATTCTTTTAGAGTGGCTTGAGTAGTTGCAGCCCAACGTGTTGCAAAACACAATGCACAGAATGATTCATAAAGTCGTTTTAGAAACAGCAAGCTTTTTTTTGTCATTATGAACTGCATTAAAAAGGCTAACAGAAGCGTTTCAAAGTGAAGATCCTTTTTTTGCCATCCTTAATATGTTGCCTGATGGACAAACTAGTTTACATATTTAGCTTTTCTTGGGGTAAAATAAATATAGAACGTGTATGTCTTATGATTTACGGTCCTTATTGCAGCTTTTTGAAATACAGAATACGATAAGAGGGAACACTGAGGTGATTGGTCACTAGTTGAAAATAACTCATTTTACTGGTTTATTTTTTTATCAAGTCATCACGTGCCAATAGAACATTTTCCTTTTGTGATTATTCCTCGTGTCCTTCCCAGCCAGGACACCGGGCTGGTGCACTGAGCATTTGTTTCCATTGGTGAATAGATTGATTCTGGTTCATAATGTACATGGAAGAGTTTAAACACTGAGTGCATCACTGCATTAACTTTAACAAGCAATAGATTTACGCTTTGTGCTCCCTGAAAAAGGCCGGTGGACGTGTGATATAAGGCAGCATGAGGGCCATGCTGAGCGTTGTTGGGGTGGAAGGAGAAAGGATGACATGTCTGGTCATGTGGGGCAGGTGAGAGCTCCTCAGAAAGAGGAGACAGAGACTGAGAGAAATGAGAGGTTGAAACTAGATATCTCCTCTTCTTGTGTCGGTCTGAAGGTCCAGCAGACTACATTGAATGTGAATCACTGCATTCCACCGCTGCGCTTTTACAGAGTGAAGACTTCGGGGCGTTTAATTCCAACTTTAAACTGCTCTTTAAGAGTTTAGAAGCCTTACGGAAATATCCAGATGGAGAAACAAAAACATTATTTTGTGTAAAAATAAATGTCAATTGTTTAGGAAATATTGAATGCATGTGATTGGCACTTGAGTGGAATATTAAATATGCAACATGACACAAATCCGTTAGACTGCACATTGTTGGCAGCCACATAATACTATATAATATATAATAATAGCAAGGTTGCCGTTAGAATGTCATAAAAATAGAAGGATAGGGCTGAGATTAAGTTTTTATTCAAGAAATCCGCAAGTATAAACGGCCAGCTAACTTCCAGTTCAGTTTTTTAAAAGATCAAAATCAGTTCAATAGACATTTCTACACTACACCGATTTGTTCTTCATAAGATCCAAGATGGAGAAGAATCGGGCCCCCCTCGGTTCCAACTGAAGCCCACCGACGTTCACCAAAACGGGCACATTTTACGCACAAGCCTAGACTGCGCGTATAAGGTTGGACACCAGGCGCGCGTATCTCCGTACGGACACTCCGGATCCCGTGCGACCCGTGGAAGAAGGGGAAGAAGAAAAAAAAACAGGCCTTCTTCTCCCTTTTAAACCTCGACGCTGTCCACGTCCTCAAAAAGAATGGATCTAATTAAAACGTTGCACTCGTCATCATCGCCAGAGCCTTGCCAAACGGGTTCTGGTGGAGAGGAGGCTGGGAGATGCAGCACCACATGACTGAGTGAGAGCTGCAGAGGGATGGGAGTCAGATTGAGTTTCTCTTCTCTCATTGGCCGGTGGGCTGACTTTTGACACGCAGACCGGGGACCCTCCTGCCATATAAATAGGCCCGATAGAACATTATTATTCTAGCATCACGGCAGCAGGTTTCCGCTGAGTTTGGAGTTACTCGTGTCACCACAACTGTATGCCTGCTTGACGGTGGTTTAAAAACAGGGGTTTAGCGGCACAAGGAGTCTGCATGTCTGCGTAGACATGCTCAGCTTTGTGGATACTCGGATTCTGTTGCTGCTTGCAGTAACTGCATGCATAGCATCATGTCAATGTAAGTTTGAATATCTGCTCTTTTTCTGAGATGGATATTTTTTTTCTCGGGTCGTACTGGTTGAGGATCTTTGCGCTTTGACTTTTGTTTGGGACTTACATGAAGACAGCTCAAAGCCCTGCAGACTAAAGCTGACCGGATTTAGCTCGTGCAGAGGATTTTTCACCTTTTTTTCCAAGGATACAATCATTTTATATTTTAGTTAGTTTCTGAGAGGGAGAAGCGGCATTCGTAAAAAAAAAAAGTTTTCTCGCTTTGTAAGAAACGTCTAAAGTAATCGGCCTTGATACTTTTAAAATATTTGAATGCATGTAGAATCTTAAGAAAAGGCTAAATGTGAATAATCTGTTAGACATTAGTTGGAAAACTTCGTGGGGCGTTGTACTTATTGTTCCATCCAGACGTCCAGCCAATGAAGCTTTATTATAGCAGACGGCTTGTCTCCCCCTGGTGGCCGTGAGTGAAAACTGCCACTTGGCACCGATTACATTTTTTCCTCTTTAGAAAGGCCCATCTGGGGTTTTAAAGTAAGATTTGGACTAAATGCTTGCATAATACAATGTTTCTAGATTCACGTCAAACCTTGTACTTGAATGTCTTTATAGCTAGATATTACCGCAGAATGTGACATTATTCCGGTAACAAAACGATTTAGAGTGTATACCTCAAAATAGGCATTGAAGACAAAGCTTCTTGGTAACCTTTTCACTAATACAATACATAAAATGGGGAGATAAATTGTCTCCCATCACCTTGAATGTCCAATTGCGCCGCCTTGTGGCCCAGATTGGACATGAAGCTTTGGAGTTCATGGGGAGGTCCCAGCTGGGCCGAACCGCTGACGCCCACCAGAGACACATTTTGCATGAGAGAAACACACTTGAACATCGGCCATAATACAATCATCACATTAGCAGATGTGCATTTACAATTGTGGATGGTAGGACTCAATCTAATTAAGCTGAAATTCACCAAAATTGCTCCTTTTAACAACATAAGCAGCAGAAATCAGAACAGAACTGAGACCTGAATGAGAGTAACTGATCCGGTCAGACATCCCGAAATACAACTGATGTAGTTCTTATCTTGTTTGCAGTAGCGGACCGGCTATTCTTGTCCCAAGGGCAAAAACGACCCGTCCAGGCCTGTTTTTTTAGCTGAATCCTTCTGGAATGCTACTGAACTCATATACGATTCACACTCAATGCAGACGTAGACAGTTTGAGGAGGCAGGCAGAGATGGCCCTGCGCTGCACTCGTGTTACAGCCGCCAGTTGGAGGGCAAATCACAGACGGTTTTGTTCAACATTTTGAGATTCCGGTGATACATGTTGTGTTGTTTTTGGCAGTCTTTATCTTCAACGCGGTATCTAAGCCCTAAAGGACGGCCAACAAAACAGGCATGCAGCGCAGCATTCTGTTTAACGATGAACATTTGATATTTTTCTGTTACTGACATTATCTTTGAATATGGGATAACTAGATGTTAACATGGCTCCTTCACTGTTAGCCCTGTTTCCGCATAGTGTGGTTGCATTCTAGTGTGTACATTTTAGTAGACTTTGTTCTTATTCAAAGGCTAACAGAACTTTTTTTTCATTGAAAGAAGTTAGAGAAACCTCAGAGATGAATTGAAATGACATTGTTTGTTTTTCAGTAGAATCAAAATGCTTAACATGTTCTAACGGAGTATTCCCTCTTCTCTCCCACCCTCATTTTCTCCCTCTTCCTCCCCTTCATCCCTGCAACGCCACAGACTCGGTTAGTACACGTGCATGAAATCATGAAAGCAACTTTTCCTAATGATAGCTTTACCTTGTCTCTTTGCTGTTTTAATCTTCCAAAGCGCTGTGAAATATTCCACGCAAGCGAGACCTCTCGGTTGGTCTGCAGCACATGAGCGATCTCAACCACGGCAGATAACTTCATTTAGGAATTTCTGCCCCCTGAACCAAGTTGTTTCTTGCAGTTTTCTCCCTTCCTGTCCATGAATAGGCGAGGGTCCTATTGGCTTAAGTTGGTGTCAGTGAAAGCTAAAACCACAGCTCTGAGGCGCCCATGGGGCCTGGTACAAAGGATCCTTTCTGAGGGGCAGAGGGAGGTTGCTCCCTAACAGCTGGCTTTGGGTCCGGTCGGAGTCTTTCCCCCCCGGCTCCTTGATAAGGATTTGATTTTGATTTACCAAAGCTGATCTCAGACAAGTTAACAGAAGGTTGAGATCTTCAGCTCGGATAATATAAAAATATAAAAATCATTTCAAATGACAGAACATGATGAGACAATATGGTCCGTCCAGCACGTCACTGTTTTAAAGGTGCAGTGTGCTCACTGTGGTTCTGGTGACATCTCAGAACTTTATTTGGACTAACATATGCGCTGCTATGGGGTCGTCTGGTTTGTGATGCTTCTTTAAGCTGCTGTATCCGCATGAGCATGTTTGACGTACACACCATATAGTATTCCATCTTGTTTAGCATACTTACTAGTTACTTACAAAGATTACTCATCATCATGCAAAAGAAAAGAGAGCCGAATGCTCGCAGTGGCCTCGATGTTAAACGGCCTGACGAGGCTGAATAAATACATCTTACATTTATTTATCTTCCTTTATTTATTTGTGGAAAGGTTTAGGTGAGCACATGATGTTGTTGTCGTGTCGTATAGCGTGTAGCATATCATGAAGTCATCTTTGAAATATGTTTTCACTTGCTAATCCTCTGCTGGAAGATTGAGTTGTTTTCTATACACATTTTATTGATTTTGTCATTCAACAGAATGTATAGTTTGGATTCGCTTTCGTCACATTTAGTACGGTTTAGATTAGACACCTGCTTTGCTAGAGGGCCGTGCAGGATCTGACATGTTGCTAAAGCATCCGCTGTGTGTTCTGGTCTGACTGCAGGGTCCCCGAGGAGCCAAAGGACCTCGAGGTGACAGGGTAAGCTGAAGCAAAACTCTGCCTCCTTCGATCAAACCATTGTTATCGAATGTGTCATTTCCTCCAGCTAATGTGAGGCATTGTTTATGAATCTTTGGGGTTGTATTTGTTGACTTCAATTGACCCTCAATAGGACACACCTCTTTGGTGACATCACCATAAGTAATGTAAATGGATGTGATGGGTCCTATTTCAAATATTTACCTAATTTATTATACTAGCAGATACATTTTTCAAAGTTTTCAATTTTCCCTCATTGTTACTGAAATGAAGTCTGCACATTACATCTTTTTAAAAGCACTATTTGCTATCACAGTGATCAGTCTTTATCTATCTATCTATCGATTGTGTTCATCCGTAAAATGCTAAAATTGAAGACGCACAGGAAACCGTCCAATCACCAGCTCAGCAGTCCACTCACTGTATCATCTGTGTTTTTTAGGGTCCTAAAGGACCAAATGGAAAAAATGGCAGACCCGGATTCCCTGGCCCCGATGGTCCCCCTGGTCCCCCTGGTCTCGGAGGAGTAAGTCCACTCGCTAATTAAGCAGCTCGACTACCCAGTGTAATTTCCAAAAAGTGGTGCAAAAATGTTTCAACAGTGGATTTGGCCTCCAATGGCTCTCGTGCTGCAGACTTGACATTGAAATATATCAGTCCTGTCTGTGTGTCCGAGCAACATTCGGCTCATTCTGGTTTTAGTTTCTGCGCGGCGCCGGCAGTTTAAAATCAGCCATACCGCTTAGCTTTTTTTATGCTGTCATAACCGTAACCCTTGACCCCTTGTCCTTTACCTGTTTGTTGCTTTGGACCCAACACAGAAACACAATATTTCCCTTTGAACCATCACTTAAATTTCTTTTGAGAATCAATGTCTGTATAATGTCTGATTGTGGTTTCGTGACGATAAAGTAGACCTGCCCGCTGCAAACAGTGACCACTGCTGTGCCTCTGGATCAATGCTCTGCTCTGCTAAGAGACTGATTACACTGTTGTGGGTTTTTCTTCTGTTTACCAGAACTTTGCTGCTCAGTATGAAGGTGGAAAAGCTCCTGATGTCCCTGGACCATCGGTGAGGGACCCTCTCTTTCTACCACACACACACACACACACACACACACACAAATAAGCGCACATCGTTATCTACCTACCAACCAGCCTTTATTTCAATAAATACAGACTTCAATGGACCTAAATTGTCTGTTGTCTTCTATGTGTGTCTTTACTTTTAGTCCATGCAGGGATACTTATCTCACAGCTTTCAATTGTCATTCCACTCCTCAAACAAATGACAAAGCGCTTCAGCATACATTCATTTATTGTTGATAAATGTTGTCTATAATTATTATTTCTCCTTTTTTAGGGCCCACCTGGCCCACCTGGCCCTAACGGACGTAATGGAGAGTCAGTAAGTGAACACACACACACACACACTGCTAATTTAATTTCAATCGGGTGTTGCTACAATGCATAGATGACTCTATAGTATTTATAACCGCCTCTTGTCATTCAACAGGGAGCTCAGGGACAAGCTGGACACCCCGGCGAGCCCGGAGAGTCTGGACAGACTGTAAGATTAACCTCCAAAATACTTTCCGTTCTTTAAATGATCACGGCTCTAGAACTGCTTTGAGTTCATTTCTCATTCATTTGATGGATCATCCAAAAATTGCTGTCTTGATGATAACAAATGTTTTTTCTCCTTCCCAAGGGCCACATGGGTCCCACCGGCCCCCCTGGACCACCTGGCAAAGCTGGAGAGGATGTACGTAAACACTTGTGTTTCCACAGGCACTTTTCAGTCAACACTTTTGATTCACAAGTTTTGTAAAGACTTCGATTATGTATTTTGCAACGGTTGCTTCTCTTTTGCCGACTCGCAGGGTAACAACGGCAGACCTGGCAAGCCCGGAGACAGAGGAACCCCCGGCCCACAGGTAAGAGATGTTCTCCAAAACAAGAACACGGAGAGAAAAGGATACATATGGAGTATGTCTCAGTAACATCTTCTCTATTTTGAATGTCAGGGCGCTCGTGGATTCCCTGGAACCCCTGGACTTCCAGGAATGAAGGGACACAGAGTGAGTGTTGATTTGTTTCCTCCACTTGCCACTCCAACCTGCGTGGTTTTTTGAATCACCTGTAACACACTGGCTGGCAGGAGGGCAAGTAACCAAAACTGCTCCAAAACATGGCCAACATATGATTGTGGAAGTCATTTTCCCCCCCTGCCTTCTGAGGAGTAATGTAGATTTAATACAAAGCTGTAATGGCGGAGATATTATATTGATTTCTATGAGGGATTCTCCAGCCAGTAAGTGAAACTTCGTGCGAACAGACAAGCTGACAGACAAGCTTCCTGAATATCCAACATTCTCTTTAGATTTCTACTGTCTTAGAAAATTAAAAAGTTTAAATAAAGAGTAGCAGTTGTGTAAACAGCCGGTTTAATGTCTGTTTTCGCTTCTAAACATCTTCCATCATCTCTCTCTTTCTGTGTACAGGGTTACACTGGTTTGGATGGACGCAAGGGAGAGAATGGTGGTGCTGGTGCTAAGGTAAGGAGGGCACCCAATGAGTACTTTATTTCATGTAGGAATCTAGTTTATCTTGTATGTATATTAATGTCGGCCTACTGATGTAGGTGAAAAACCAAACCAAAACTTTGTCAGGGTTTTCACCTCTGACCTTGAGTCCCGTTACTTCAGATACATAATCTCCTCTCCTGTCTCAACTATAGGGTGAGACTGGTGCCCACGGAGCTTCTGGAAGTCCTGGACTGGCTGTAAGTTTTTGATTGAGTTCATCACTTATGAGCAAAACCTTCCCTTAGTGAACCCCGTCCTAATAATAATTCCGCCATCAATACATTTGCCATCGGACGTCTGCAGTAAAGACACCTTTGTCCTGACCTGTATACCCTCTTTAGGGAGCTCGTGGTATGACTGGCGAGAGAGGCCGACCCGGCCCTGCTGGCCCTGCTGGTGCTCGTGGTGCTGATGGCAATGTTGGACCCTCTGGTCCTGCTGTGAGTACTGACCTTTTAAAACCTGGTTAGATCAATGCATTTTCTTGCTCCCATATTAGACCACCCAAATGTGAGCTTTGACCTATATTACATAAGGCTGAGTGTCATGTCTGCTGCTCTTCCACCCAGGGTCCCCTCGGATCTGCTGGTCCCCCAGGATTCCCCGGTGGCCCCGGACCCAAGGTGAGTGTGATGTCACCACATTCCTCTGGAATTTACTGTCCTTTGCCAACACATCCTCCCAGAGATGTTCTGGTGTAGGGCCATGCATCGAGGAAGTAATTAGCATACAGTATAAGCATATGTCAGAAAAACAAACTCCCTTCGCCCATCTGTCAAAGTTCACATCCGAATAGCTTTTGTGTATTATCCCCATGGGAATAGTTTAGACATCTAACAGCCTCAGCCACTCTGGACCATCCTTAACTAACTTGATGTATTTTGTCTTTAACAGGGAGAGACTGGAGGTGCTGGAGCTGCTGGCCCAAGTGGACCTCAGGGAGCAAGAGGAGAGCCTGGTGTCAATGGTGCTGTTGGCCCCACCGGTCCCATTGTACGTATACAAATATGTTACTATACATGCACCTTCTTGTAAAAATGATTAGCAAAAACATGTATTTTATTTATTCCTTTGTTTTGTTTTTGATTGCATTAATGATTATTTATTAATCATGATATTATGACATATTAAAGTGCTATTTTTTGTACTTGGTAAGTGTTTGAAAAAGTGACATAACAAATTGGTTTTATTTCTTGTTTTTTTCTTGCAGGGTAACCCTGGTAATAATGGACTGAATGGAGCTAAGGGACCTGCTGTAAGTACTCAAGTTATAATATTAGGGCATATGAAGGTCAAATGTCAGTTCATACAGAGGTTACAGCATGCATATCATTTAATGTTGCTGATGGCAGGATGCAGTTTTTATTGCACTACAACTACAACTAAACACAATATAGTCCATTTCATTAAAAAGTAGATTTTGATCAAATGAAGGCAATGTTTCAAGATAGGCTCTTGTGGTGCTCACCTGTCCGTCATGTCTGTTATATAGGGTACTCCTGGTGTTGCTGGATCTCCTGGCTTCCCCGGACCAAGAGGAGGACCTGGACCTCAGGGCCCTCAGGGTTCTGCTGGACAGAGAGGCCTTAGCGTGAGTACACAACCAACACATGAGCAACAATGAAAAAGCATGTTGGTAGTCCTTGTGAGAGTACGCAGATACGCACATAATTGTGTGAGTAGTCAATTTGTGCCTGTTTATCTGTTTCAGGGAGATCCTGGTGTACAGGGTATCAAGGGAGACGGCGGACCCAAAGGAGAGCCTGTAAGTTCACGCCCTGATCTTTTAGTTTCACCTTATTCTAAGACCTCTGAAAACTGACTGTCCTTTGACTTCCTTCCTCAGGGTAACTCTGGACCTCAGGGAGCCCCCGGACCTCAGGGTGAGGAGGGCAAGAGAGGACCCAATGGTGAGCTCGGTGCCACAGGACCCGCTGGAAGCAGTGGAGCTAGAGTGAGTACCAGAGCACCATCTCTGACCCGGACCCGTAACATTCCGTATTTGGAGTCACGTTTCTTAGGCCACATGCTGATGACTGTGTCTCTCTTTTAGGGCTCCCCTGGCAGCCGTGGTTTGCCTGGTACTGAGGGAAGAACCGGCCCAATTGTAAGTGTGCAATGAACAAATCTCCTTCCACCAATCTATATTATCTTTAGTTTTGCTTCCAAATATAATCGCAGATCAGTCATAAGGAGGAACTGCCCCCTCATTTCGCTTGGACGTCTCTTTCTCCTAGGGTATGCCTGGTGCCCGTGGGTCCACTGGTAATGCTGGACCTCGTGGAGCCCCCGGAGATGCTGGACGCGCCGGTGAGCCCGGAGCAGCTGGTCACAGGGTGAGTCTTCTGCTAAGTTCATTTTTGATCTGGTCTCTATGTTAGATCTTCGAGTCTATGTTGAAGAGAGAAAAGGCCTCTGGATTGGATCTGCGGTGCTATAATGATTTTGAAGAAAGGCTATTGTGTTAAATGAATTAGCCTTGTGTGCATAATTAAACACAATTATTTGAGGAAAGTCAGTTTGCTGAAGGGAAAAAATTGATTGATGTATGTTCATCATGTACAGGGTCACCCAGGAAGCCCTGGAAGCTCCGGACCCCCAGGAAAGGAGGGACCTGCTGTGAGTAAATCATTTGTTTACCCTGGGACTTGTGGATCTATAATTCATACCATCCCCAAAGTTTAGTTCAAGATGCAATCTCATTCTGTACAGTTCATGATATTCATTATTTACGTTCTGCTCTACTTTCTCTTTCCCCTTCCAGGGACCCGCTGGACAAGATGGCCGCTCTGGACCTCCCGGCCCAACCGGGCCTAGAGGCCAGCCCGGAAACATCGGTTTCCCCGGACCCAAAGGACCTAGTGTAAGTAGAAACACGACACAGAAACAATACTGAACCATGATTAAGCAACATCTCCTTTTTATTCTTGAAGTTTCTTAACCTTCACTTGACTCACCGCTTACCTCCGTCAGGGTGAGACTGGCAAGCCTGGAGAAAGGGGATCCGCAGGCGCCACTGGACTGAGAGTAAGTCAAACAACACCCTGCAAGTGTTTGATAGTTTGATAAGTAACTCACTCATAAAACATTTTTATTATGGTTGGTCAGCTTCATTGTAAATGTCATCCTATTCTTACGTAGGGAGCACCGGGAGCTGATGGCAACAACGGAGCCAGTGGTGCCAATGGACCTGCTGTAAGTATCCTTATATAAAAAAGACTGTATGTATAAACACAAATATATATCGCCCTTTCAGGCAAATACATGCACCAACACTGCTCTCTTCTGTTTCTCTTTTGCTACAGGGTGGTGTTGGTGAGAGGGGAGAGACAGGACCTTCTGGAGCTCCTGGCTTCCAGGTTCGGATCCATCATGTTTCCATTGCCTGCTCATTTTACACGGCTAAGAAAATGAAATAAAAAAACAAATGAACATTAAAAAAAAAGTGCATTCATCAGACCACTTTCAGTCTAATTGGAATAAAATGCCAACCTGTTTTCCTTAGAGGTTTAAGAAGACATGTAATATATGACCTGCACCAAAGGGTGCACCTTTGAGATAGCAGTGTCTGCATGAGTGGCAATATTGGGCCCATTGGTCCTGATGTTGCGGATTACTGTTTTCAGGGTCTGCCCGGACCCGCTGGAGGTGCTGGAGAGACTGGCAAGCCCGGAGAAAGAGTAAGCAACACTGACACTAAAGTCGAACCATATAGTGCAGAATAAGCAGTACATCTCTAACCCTCCGTTGTTGTTTCTATAAAGGGAATCCATGGAGACCACGGAGTTGCTGGACCTGCTGGTGCAAAGGTCAGTCCACTTGTTCAGGCCTTTTGAGGGTTTTCCAGAATATTCAGGATGAGTTATCAATGATAATAAAATGCCAAAACTATTAGTTAGAATTTAAACAGAATACCTCTATCAATGTAGCAGAATACATTTGCATTCATTAGTAGCCAGAGACAATACACTGACTCCCTCCGTGTTTCCCTGCAGGGAGAGCGTGGTAACTCTGGTGCTGCTGGAGCTAATGGACCTCAGGGACCAATTGGACCCCGTGGACCCGCTGGAGCCCCTGGAACCGATGGTGGCAAGGTAAAATGATGCCATATAATGGTGTTTTGTCTGCTCCTCTGACTAAAATGGTCCTGTTGAATCAGGGTCATCTTGGTGCCAAAGCTAATCTATGGTAATGTATTTTTTATGCAAAACGGAACCATAGTGTGTCATGTCTGTTTTCAGGGAGAGCCTGGTGCTGCTGGAGCTGCTGGTGCACCTGGACACCAAGGATCTAATGGCATGCCCGGAGAGCGTGGAACCCCCGGTGGCCCTGGAACCAAGGGAGACAAGGTAAACCCTAAAAATAGCCACAACAGCTCTGTAAATATGCTCGACTATGTGCATAGTGAACAGTATTTCTTTTATAATGCTTCTTGTATAAAATATGCTGTGTGGAATATCGATCACCTGATTTCAAGTATTAAAGTTTGTGTTTGTTATATCTGGTCCCCGTTATCCAAACTTGTTAAAATAATAAACATTATTTCCTGTTGTTTATTCCCTCCTTTTCCATCCCCTCTAGGGAGAGGGTGGACACAGAGGACTTGATGGCAATGCTGGTAGAGATGGTGGCCGTGTAAGTAAAACTCTAATTATTTTTGTGGCACTTGATACAAAAGTTTGCAGTGTAACAACCAGAGCCACGGACTTAGTGTCTTCTCATTTCTTCTTCTAGGGAATGGCTGGACCCGCTGGACCTCCTGGCCCAACTGGTGCCAACGGTGACAAGGTAAGTTGGTGATCTTTGGATATTATTTACCTCAAAACAAACAATGACATAAACCATAAGAACGAGAGCATTTAAGATGAAAACTGTAACGAGCTAAAAAACGCCTCCAACATTATTCAAAATGGCCTGTTTGATGGTCCACGTCGTTGAATATCGCACTCCTCTGTAGGAGAACTCTCGCGTTGTATCTGATGCCAGAACACTGCCCCCTTACGGCTGATTAATAATATCACAGCGATGGCTCAACCAGAGCTTGTTCTAGAATGGCATAGCATGCATGCTGGCCTATTGCTTTTGGAAAACCAAGACACCACATTTTTGTTTTGTCACAAAAAAGAAGTTCAGCTTCATTAGCTATCTATCCTTGGATGGATGCAGCTATGCTAATCACATGACAGACACATAATGACACACTCACTGTTCTCCACCGCCAGGGTGAGAGTGGTGGCTTTGGACCTCCCGGACCTGCTGGAACTCGTGGATCCTCTGTAAGTAGCTGTGACCTCCTTCCTTTCCCACTTTACCATTATTCCCCTCAAATTAACTGGTAATATAAATACCAGCCAATGACTCAAGGAAAACCTAAAGCTTGTATGTGCAGCATAAATTGACCTTCTGACCCACTGCTTGTTCTCCACAGGGAGAGCGTGGAGAGGTTGGACCTCCTGGAGCTCCCGGATTTGCTGGACCCCCTGTAAGTCAGCAGCCGACCATCTTTTAACACAAAATACGATTTAAGATGAAAAAAATGTATACACCCACAAAATTGCCTAGATATTGACCCATCCCCATTACCATTCCTGTCTTCAGGGTAATGGCGGTCAGACCGGAGCAAAGGGAGAGCGTGGACCTGCTGGAATAAAGGGAGAAGTTGGCCCATCTGGACCTTCTGGACCCGCTGGACAGTCTGGACCTCCTGTTAGTACCAAGGCTCCAGACGTGGACATACGAGCATTTACATTGACAATTTTATAAATGAGATGAGACATGAGTGATGTAAATGGTGTCATATTTCTGTGTATGTAGGGTGCTTCCGGCCCTGCTGGACCTCCTGGTGCGCGTGGAGACAACGGGCCTCCCGTGAGTAGTGAAACATATACAACAATAACAAAAAATTATTTTGAGTACATTTATTGCATTTGTTTAGTATCCTTAAAATTCTTACAGTGAACTTAAGCACATGTATAATATATATACATGCGACAGTCAACCAATAGCTTCAGCTCTATTTTTTCTTGACTTTTTAAGAAAATGTATCATGCAGCTGTAGCGAAAGCCATACTTTCTAGTCTAATTTCTAGTGTGCCAAATTGAAAGTTTAATATTTCTTTTTGTTCTATTTTTTATTTATTCACCAAAAAACTTGTTGTACCTCTGTGATATCTACTCACACATAGACACACACAAAAAGACACACCACATATTCTTGATGACTGCTGTGTAAACTTTGATGGTGTATTTTTCTGATGTTAGGGTCTGACTGGTTTCCCTGGAGCTGCTGGCAGAGTTGGTGCTTCTGGTCCCGCTGTGAGTATTACTCTTACGTAAAACACACACACATACACACACACATGCAAGCCCATATTGAATAGATCGGATTACTTAAGTAACATTTTGCTGGTTCTCATATCAGGGAATCAGAGTGCTTGACACATTCTGCTCATCTTTTCCTCACAGGGTATTGTTGGACCCCCTGGCTCCGCTGGTCCATCTGGTAAGGATGGTCCTCGTGGTCTTCGTGGTGAACCTGGTCCCAGTGGTCCTGCGGGAGAGCAGGGTAGGGTGGGACCACTTGGTGTTTCTGGAGAGAAGGGACCCACTGGAGAGCCTGGTCGCTCTGTAAGTTCGACCAGAAATGTTGAAAACAATAACAGCTTTTGGACAAATATGACTGAGTTTACGTTTGTAGACATTGATCGCAGATACATTAATATTAATTAACATTAATATGTGGCTTGTGTTTAGGGTGCTCCTGGTTCACCTGGAAGCAGTGGTCTGATTGGACCTCCGGGATTCGTCGGTCTGCCCGGTTCTAGAGGATCTCAAGGTGTACCCGGTGGAGTTGGTCAACAGGTAAATTTGTATTTAGTTTTCAGGCACCATGACCATTTTGAGGATACTATGAGTTATAAACAGCTCCTTTGGTCAAACATGCATTCCAAACATACTGTATCACATGCAGTATGAAGCCTGTGACTGCATTTGACCAGTGTTTTTCTCTGCATCAAAGGGAGCACCTGGTAGCGTTGGACCTGCTGGTCCCTCTGGAGCTCGTGGTCCCCCTGGCAACATGGGCATGCCTGGTATGACCGGACCTCAGGGAGAGGCTGGACGTGAGGTAAGTGTTGATCTGGGCATAACAAGTACTGTAGTTACCTGTTAGTGGTAACCAATTGTGTATTATAATTATATATATTATTATTACATATACTTGTTGAAAATGTCCCTTCGATTTCTTGGTTGAGATTTACTTCAGTGGATTGAACCAAAACATGGACTCAGAGAACTGACACAGTAACCCGATAACAAGATAGAAACTTTTATGTAAACTGTAATATTCTTTGCCATCTACAGGGTAACTCTGGTAACGATGGACCCCCTGGTCGTCCTGGTTCACCTGGAGTGAAGGTAATGAAGGCCTGTTGATACACATTGAAACACGTTTCTACACACACATAGGCTGTGTTCTGATCCACATCCAAACCTTTCACCATGTTAAGGGAGACCGTGGTGAGCCCGGACCTGCTGGTCAAATGGGAGTCGCTGGTCCCCCCGGCCCCTCTGGACCCTCTGGAGCTGCTGGTAGACCTGGAAACCGTGGAGAATCTGTACGTATAAACAGCACCGCTTTTGAGATGAATTCACATTTAAACCGAATCCAAACAGCAACATTTGTCAGGTTTCCGCTTTGTCTTCCTTTCATTCTTGTCTCTTCTTGTCTCTAGGGCCCAGGAGGTGCCTCTGGACCTGCTGGAGCAGCTGGAGCTAGAGGTGCTGCTGTAAGTACAATTACCATTTGTGGTGATATAAAAAGTATAAAGAATAGTTCATTGACACAAACGACGCTGATTTATCGCCTATTTGTGTGTTTGTGTTACAGGGACCTGCTGGAGCCCGTGGTGAGAAGGGAGGTGCTGGAGACAGGGGAGAAAGAGGCATGAAGGGTCTGCGTGGACATGCTGGTCTCCAGGGAATGCCTGGACCATCTGTGAGTGACCCGTACCGTCCCAATACAAACAAAATTTGTGTTGATATTTACCTAATCTACAATGACCACTATGATGTCACTCGGTGATCCACTCGTCTCCCCTTAGGGACCTTCCGGTGATGCTGGATCTGCTGGACCAAATGGACCTTCTGGACCCAGAGTGAGTGGAATCCTAATAACCTAGAGCTTTTCTTGTTCCTCCGATATCCATAGAGGCGCCCTCAAAACTAAAAGTTAACATGTGAACTAGAAATTGCCAGAGCTAGTTACGGTCAACTTGGCCGATAACATGGCAGAAACAGAGTAGGAAGTTGATCAACCACAGTCCTATCTAATCCAGGATTTCCAAAAAAGACAAAAGTTTGACCGTGTCATGTGATGACCTCCTCTGTAGGGACCTGCTGGACCCAACGGACCCCCTGGTAAGGATGGCAGATCCGGCGGCCATGGAACCATTGGCTCTCCTGGTGCTCGTGGAGCGCCTGGATACTCTGGACCTGCTGTAAGCACATCTAGATTCTTACCAACCTGACAATTGCCAACCCGCTACTGTGATCATGTATCAATCCTCTCTTTTATCCATATCAGGGTCCTCCTGGATCTCCCGGTCTGCCCGGACCTCCCGGCCCCTCCGGTGATTCCTATGATGTCTCTGGATACGAGGGATCAGAGTACAGAGCTGATCAGCCATCTCTGAGAGCCAAGGACTTTGAGGTTGATGCCACCCTCAAGTCCCTCAACACTCAGATCGAGAACCTGCTCACCCCTGAGGGATCCAGAAAGAACCCTGCCCGCACCTGCCGTGACATCAAGCTCAGCCACCCCGAATGGAGCAACGGTGAGCTAACTTTCATCAGACAGCAGTGTGGAGCAGATACCACTTACTTACTAGTGGGGTTCAGATCGCTTTTGCCGCCCATGTGAAGCAGAGTAAAACTTTTTTCTTGCCCTGTAGGTTTCTACTGGATTGACCCCAACCAGGGATGCATCACTGACGCCATCAAGGTCTTCTGCGACTTCACCACCCGCGAGACCTGCATCCACGCACACCCCGAGAGCATCGCCCGCAAGAACTGGTACAGAAGCACCGAGGGCAAGAAGCACGTCTGGTTCGGAGAGACCATCAATGGTGGCACCGAGGTGAGCGTCTACAGAGAGGAATATTTGGATTTTATTTGAAATAGAAAGGGTTTAAACCCCACACAAGCACAGAAGGCCAGTGTTTAACGGAATTTTCTTTTTATTCTTTCCCTGGTGCAGTTTACCTACAACGATGAGACCCTCAGCCCCCAGAGCATGGCCACCCAGCTTGCCTTCATGCGCCTGCTGTCCAACAAAGCTAGCCAGAACATCACCTACCACTGCAAGAACAGCAACGCCTACATGAGCGATGAGACCGGTAACCTGAAGAAGGCTGTGGTGATCCAGGGCTCCAACGACGTAGAGTTGAGAGCCGAGGGCAACAGCCGCTTCACCTTCTCCGTGCTAGAGGACGGCTGCACTGTGAGTTTCTATTTGGTCTTTACTGTTACCTTCATCGCTTCGGTTTTCTTTTTCCTCACGAGAAAAGACATGACTCTTTTTACAAACTGCTACACTAATGCAGCTTTTGGTGTCACGAGACAGAGATCGTTTTTCTCACAGTTGTTTGGTTTGTATTATTTTGCCACTGCTCTAACATTTGGCCCTTTTCTTCCTTTACACCCGCAGAGACACACTGGTGAGTGGAGCAAGACAGTGATTGAGTACAGAACAAATAAACCATCTCGCCTGCCCATCCTCGACATTGCACCTTTGGACATTGGTGGAGCTGATCAGGAGTTTGGTTTGGACATTGGCCCAGTCTGTTTCCAATAAATAGACTCATGATAAATTAAATACCAAAAAGAGAGAAAGAACGAAAAAACAAAATCTCTGCCCTTCTTTCTGTGTTGTTTTTTTTTTATACTGATTGCTGATTTCCCTCTGCGCATCCACTTGCTTAAGATGGGCAACTATCTGAGAGGACTGAATGGACTGAACGGAGCGTTTTGTGCAATGCAAATTAATACAGCAACCCAAAGGGACGCGGGAAAACAGCTTGTTGTGGGACATCATGTCATCCTTTTGTAAAAAATAAAAGAAGTGTAATAAAAACGCTGAAAGTATGCATCACTTTGTGGTCTTTGTATATCTTCCAAAGAGGAGGTTTAAAACCACAATTTCCATGAAAAAAAGGTTTAAGCTACCTCATGCCTGTACCTAAAGAAAATACTTTTGACAAAACTTGGGTCCACAACCGAGATGTTACGACTTCTAATGACTTCTAATGCTTCAAGCTGTATCGGAAGGTGCTCAGTTACTTGAAGCAGAGATCTATGGTGCTAATATGCAGCTGTGGAGCAAACCACTTTTACTGTATTACTTTGTATTGACATTTGAGGGATCTCGCATTCGTCCCCTGATGCTCCCCCACTTTAAGCAGGTGGAATGTTTCTAAATCTGATGTCTGGTTTTTGTTTCATTTTGTTTTGCTCTTTTTTTGTTTTGTCTAGAAGGTTGTTTTTTTTTGTTTTGGTTTTTTGTTCAGGCTTTTTTAACTCAAAACCCCACATCAAATGTTCATACTGACAGCACATATTTCACCCAATTCTGAATGGCGGCCTCTCTCTCTCAAAAAATGAAACCACAAAGTCTATTGTACCTATTTTGTATATGTGAGATGTTTAAATAAATTGTGAAAAGTTCTGAAATAAAGCATGTCCAATGTTCCAAAACACCCAACTCAGTGACTTAAGTCCTTTTAATGTTTTAATGACACCATTAAAGGTTTGTCACTGTATTTTGGTTCTAGTTTGACTGATGTTAACACATCAAAAAATTTAAACATCTTCCCGTTGTGGAAGCAAAGCCATATCTTATTTACATTCCCCATCGTTCATTCCTTTCAATAGTAAATCTGAATTTTAATGTACAGTAAATTTCTGTTGACACTGTCCATGCCAATGTGTGATTACTAACGTGCATTGTGTCTTGTAAATATGCATCCTCTGATGTTGCTTTTTCTTGCATAATACAGCTTTTGCATCCAAATAAATTTCTATGGTTTGGATGCAATCATACTGAAGAACCAGTTTTTGTTCAGATGAAGACGGAGTTATGAACAAACTAAAAGTCACATGCATCGCTTCCAGTAACCACAAGAGAGCAGTATAGGATGATTTTATTAGCATCGATGCTGAAGTTGCAACATTTTCACATTGATTCTACTGCTACAACGGCTAGAATTACTACTTACTCATTATTAATTAATACTATTCAGAATCAGAATCGGGAACTGTTTATGTTGACACATACCATGATTTGGGCTGGGCGATTTGGTGCTAAAAAAAAGTTAATCAGATTACATACAACCCATTGGCACACAGACATCTTTGCCCGGTTGATAATGCAGCCTTACTGATGATTGTGGCCACAAATGGCTTTCTTGACTTAAATAGTAGAAGTAACATGCCATAATTTTACACTGCTGTGTGACTAAAAGTAGGGTAAGAAGATCTCCTTTAACTCCACTTCTGCACCAGTCCAGCCATATTGAAGTATTCCTGAGCAGGTGCCCTACCGAGTTGCTTAGAAGTCCCTATAGTCTTTTGTAGATGCGTACTTTACATTTACACCAGGTTTGTGCAGTAGAGCGGTCGCTGTAGTTGTCATTCTATTTAGCTTTGACGTTCACCTAAATGTGGCCTTTGTCCGATGAAGAAATACACGTCTAGTAAGAAGAAGAAGGAAGTCAAACAGAGCATTAACAATAAATGATAATACCAATAAAATAAGGTCACATAAGTGCAGCGTGGCAGGTTGCAGTTGGTGATCTGAAATATTTTATACTAACTTTAGCAGTGCTAAATACCTTATTGAGTACTTAATAATCATATAATCTGATTATAAAGCACAGTTTCCCAGTCGTTTAGACTAGAAATAAAATGTGAAGCGTTACACAGATTGTGACAGAAAAAAATATTTCAAGAGTCTTTTAAAAAATATCCTTAAAGTGAGATGTTTGATTTAAAGAAAAAGCAATAGGCCTACATTATTTTTAAAAGTCAGGAAAAGAATGCAATTTTTACTGGGGAATATTACATAAAATCTCCGTCCTGTGCAGTAAATCCTTAGTTCAAGGAGCAGAGACTGCAAATAGTTCCTGATGGTTTGACTACACTTTGCTCGGGGGGCAAACACAGCTGATGTAACTTTCTTTTCGGTGTAACCTCTTCTCACGCAGACCGCGGCGGAGCCACTTCCTGTTGCAGGTTGAGCCGCCTGCAAGAGGACATTCCCCGCTGCGCAACAGGTTCGCCAAGTCGCTCACGTCGCCAGATGATTACCTTTGCAAAACGACATTCTATACGTGTTTGCTCACTGCAGCCGGCAAAGCCTGCACCTCCCTAAAACACTTAAAATAAGTAAAGAAGATTCACCCAATCGCCCGGAGCTATCGGCGACAACGCGGGGACAGCTCGTCCACCAAGTTTCTTTTTTCTCTTAAAACTTTTCCTTTTAAAAAGGTACGAAAGTTTTAAATCCACGTTTTATGTACAACGCCGTTGTGGGGTTATACATTAAGCTACTCCTTTTGATCCGCGCCAGCTTTAAAGAGCAGTGATGGAACAGCAGGAGGCGGTGTTGCTGAACGCAGCCCCGGCGGATGGTGCACAGGGAGCACCGCCGTTGTTAGACCGCACAGGTGCTTGTTGTCATGGAGGAGCAAAGATGGCGGTCCTGGCCTACAGCCTGGGCAAACGCGAAATAAATCATCATTTTACCATCAAAAATGCCAAACTGATATCGGTGGTGCTCGTCGTTCTACTCGTCGTGTTTCACACAGCTTCGCGGTACTATGGAGGTAAGTGGGCTCCCTTTTATCGGAGGTGGACTTGATGTTGCTGCCCGGAGCTACCGGCTACTGCTAATGATAGCTAGCTACAGCTAGCTGTTCGCGTCTGCGAGCATCTCGCTTTGCGGGTCGGTCACAGCGCCGTTATCCGGTGTTGCTTTTAAAATGCGATACATAAGATGCCGCAATGCACACCTTTTGCCAGTGTCAACGGATTTTGCCAAATACAGACACAATTCCCCAACGGTTAACTTACTTTACGGTCTTAAATGTATCTGTCTAGCCTAGCTGAATAAAGCTAACGCTGCATTTAGCTGTGTTTATGTGCTCCTGTCAGGACACGCTCGGTCACTGCTGGGTGACTTTAGTACTGTGGTCGATGCAGTCTTTCCTAAAGAGGATTTTAGTTGTTTTTCTTAAATGATTATCTATATTTAGCAAATAAGTAAATGTAAGTTATTTACCGTGAACAGACCTTTCACAGATGCGAGCTAGATGATCTCTGCAGTAATGTGGTGTGGGAAACCCAACAAATGCCGCTGCATTGATTTATGTGTTAATGTCAACACGCTGGGTCGCATTTAGATTTCCCCGTCGCCCTAAATGAAGCGGCACAGAGCGATGGCAAAGATCCCACAGTTTGATTGTGAACTATTTAAATGTCACACACACACACACACACACACACACACACACACACACACCACTCCCATTTGAAGTGGACTCTGTTCATGAAAAGGGACCAGAGACCTGTGTGCCAACGCAGCGCTGCCGCTTTGTTCGCGTTTCTCTCAATTCATCCCGTTCATTTTTTTGCACGTAAATGAATAGCTGGAGAGATTTATGGTGAAGCTTCACTGCTGATGACTTTATATTGACCTGTGTCCCCCAGCAGAGCCCTGCATTGTATACTAGTCTTTTGATTGCACATCAAGGGTACCATTGAAACAGCAGGTTTTAGAAAGATGCACCATGTGTGACCGCAAGAGAGTGGTCTTTTACTGAGGGCAGGGATGTTTTTTTTTTTTTTTTTTCTTGCCTCCAGGCGGAGACTCGTGTGAGCGGCTGCTGTCCAGGGGACGGTACTTGGGGGAGAACGTGTGGCAGCCGTATGGCTGCATGATGCACAAATACAAAAGCATGTGAGTCCCAGCAGCAGTGCATGGTCACTGGTGTGTACATTGTGTTTGAGAGAAAAAGAAGGGTATCGCAGTGAAAGATTCGCTGCGTGTCTGTCTGTGAGGTTGCATAGGTGATATCGCCTGAACGCAATGATCAACATATGAAAGATCGTTGTCTCCAGTTGTTGGGTTTTAGCCTTTTTTAGATTCCTTTTTAGATGTCTTTTTTTTTTTTTCTCTCTCACAGTGAAGCCCAAACCTGCCTGGCTGAAAAGCAAGTGGCCTTTCTCGGTGACTCACGAATCAGGCAACTCTTTTATTCCTTCATAAAAATTATTGAGCCTGGGCAAGCAGAAGATGGAAACAAGGTAATTATGAGAAGAAACACTGTGTAAACCCCGAGTTCTTCTTTGATCAGCAAGAGTTGACAATGTACGCCAGGAAATGCATTCCATAAATATTCCACCATTCACGCAGCTGCATGTATTACTTGTACATGTACACCATATATCTATATAAATCTGATTTAATTCAATATCTGGAGGCTTTCAGTGGTATAATAAATACCTTCATGAAATTCCTGAAATAGGAAGCATTGGGGAACAATGAGGACAAAAGAGGAATGCTATTCACCTAACAGACATTCTCTCTCTGTCCACATGAAATGTCTGAAGCACGAGGACATTTCCTTTCAAGTTGACAGTTCCTCTGTCAATGTGGTAAGCTATTTATAGATGTGTTTCATCTCCTTTTTTGAAGGCATAATCTGATAATACTCTTAACTGTGTGTGTAGGACTTTCTGTGGTATCCAGAGGCAAATAATTCAATGAAGGAGCGCTTGATGTCATGGACAAACGTGAGTACAAATGTTGAGTTATACTATGAACAAATAAGAAGCTAGTCAGAGATATTAATGCAGGAAGCTTTATAGACCTGACATGGTCTGGTCTATAAAGCTTTACTTTTCTAATTGCACCTCCTCTCATGCTCTGCAGGACGGTTCAGCAAAGCCAGATGTTGTCATCCTTGGAGCTGCAACTGTAAGTGTTTAGCAATGAAAAGTGGAGTTATGTCGATCTTAATCTCATCCAACAATCCGTTTTCCACAGTGGTCCATCAAGTTCCACAGCGGCAGCAGCGAGACACTGGAACAGTACAAAGTCAACCTGACGGCTATCGCTGTGCACCTGGAGAAGCTGGCTGACCATGCAGAGGTCTATTGGGTCCTGCAAGGTAAACTCCACTGCAAGCTTTTTACCATCTGTCATCTCCGTTGGGTTGATAAAGAATTGCTACCTACCCCCTTCTGCACACACTGACACGTCTCTTATATGGTTATTGCATTCATGGCAAACTGCATCACCATCAGAACGACTTGATGTAATGCTGACCAGGCGTTTTGCACGAGATTGTGGGAGTTTGTGAATATTTGCTCCTCATACATGCACCCTCTAAACAAACAAACTCTCTCTGACCAAAGTCTTGTGCAAAACGCCATCACGCCCCTGTCTCTCTAGATCCGGTCAATGAGGAGGCGTTGAATGAGAACAGGAAAATGATCACCAACGAGCAGGTGGAGCTGTACAATGAAGCGGCGGTGGACGTGCTCAACAAAAACAAGCGCAGCGGCGGGTCCCGGGTCAAGGTGTTGGCTGCGTCCCGGCAGGCCGCTCTGGAAACCGTGGCCCAATCAGATGATGGCCTGCACCTTCCCGAGGGCACCAGGAACGTGGTAGGCAAGATTTCTTTGTAGGCTTTTAGGTCGTTCTAATCCGTGGTTTGGTTTCGGCTGTGGCGACCGCACCAGCTCATTTCTCCCGTTTTGTTCATCTAAACTAAAGGTGGTGTTGTACTCGTAATCAGTACGGTTCTCGAGACCACCCCCCCCCCCCCCCCCTCCCCAAAGTCTCGGCCTGGAAAATTCCACATTTTTACCCCCTGACAACGATGACTTGAAGTTTTATGTTAAGACTGGGCAAAGCCGCAACTACAATGGGATTACTAAATTAATTTATTTTGTAATATCATTATTTTGATAGCTCAAAGAAAAACCATGGATATTCCTACAAATAATATTCTGCTTTAGAATGCTTTTATCAAGGCATTTCCCCTGGTACATGCATACACATATTAGTTGTTAGTTAGTATACACTGCAATTAAATATGTGCACACGTGAATTCCCTTTTCCGTGTCGTGTTTTTAGCATGTAGCTTTTGAGATTCTCCCGACCTGCCATTAGAACAGAGCACAACGACCGCGAGATTACACACACACACACGTCATTTCATAATGCGAGCCGCGAATGATTGTCTAGTTATTCATTTAAGCAAATAAGTCATTTCCGTTTGGCTCATAGATGCGTGATATTTGCTTCCCACGACTTCACAAATTTCCTGTGTATCGGTCAGTCTAATGCATATTTCAAACTTCATTCTGGTGTCTAGATTTCTTTGAGCTTGCTCGTATATCTACCCATTGATGTGTGGCGCTGTCTGTTTCCAGTTATGACCTCAACGTTAAAAGGAGCCATTCTGCCGCCTATTAAATACTTACCATGAGTCCGTTTTTATTTTTACTTAACATTCACTTTGTGTTGTTTTGAGTAGTAACTTTACCACCCTGTGTGATCCTCCCTTCAGGGTGCCATGGTGCTCATGAACTCTCTGTGCAACAAGCTGCTCCGGCCCATCGACGGCTCCTGCTGCCAGACGTTCGCGTCCCCAAACCTCCTGCAGAAGCTGTCGGCGTGCATCTTCGCGGGCTCTGCCGCGGCCCTCTTGGTTTTCCACCTCCTCGGCAGGAACCGCCACCGCCGGCTTGTGCCGCCCGACGTGGAGAGCCTCGAGGAGAAGAAGCCGGCGACCGCGGCCGCCCCTCCGGGTCTGACGGCGCCGTTACAGGCCCTCTGCCGGATGGGCCTCATCATGAGCTATTTCTACCTCTGCGACAGGGCCGACGTGTTCATGAAGGAGCAGAAGTTCTACACCCACTCCACGTTCTTCATCCCCCTTATCTACATCTTTGTCCTGGGAGTGTTCTACAACGAGAACACCAAAGAGGTGAGATGGCACGCTGGTTTTATTTGGGGGAAGCATACATGGCGCTCTAAACGCAGTCAGGGGTCAACATCGAATACAAGCTCAGTGGATTCTAATTTGGTACATGAGAAGAAAATATATCTGTCTTGTGCTCGACATTATTATGAAGCCCTTGCTGTTGGTAAAAAAACACCAATCATTGTCATTTTTCAACAGTCCAAATTACTCAACCGTGAGCAGACGGACGAGTGGAAAGGCTGGATGCAGTTAGTCATCCTCATCTATCACGTCTCTGGAGCCAGCGCTGTGAGTGCCACACAAAGGACTCCACACATACATTCCAGAATAACCAGCTTCCAAGCACTGCGCATTCATTTTGGATGTAAAGGCATAGAACAGGTTTCTTTTCTTTCTGTCTTTCAGTTCCTTCCGGTGTACATGCATGTGCGTGTGCTGGTGGCAGCGTACCTCTTTCAGACCGGATATGGACACTTTTCCTTTTTCTGGCTCAAAGGAGACTTTGGACTGTACCGGGTGTGCCAGGTGAGGATCCAGCGTGGAACTTATCCACTGCACTGTAGGCGTCAGCAGCAACATGTATTTTAGCCACCGAAAATAAATCTATGTCAGTTTGAGTCTGCCCTTTTTATCTGAAATGGTTTTTTTACTGCTTTAAGTTCCATTCCAGTCCAAACTAGAGACTCAAGTTATATATATGCTCTCCTCAAAGCCATCAGACTTTTTTTTTTGTTTCTATTTTATCCAAGTTGCCTCTGGTGCTAAAGGTTAATTAATATTTACCAAGTCACATGGTAACAAAACAAATGAACCAACCGAGGCAGCAGTAAATGAGCAACACCCGTGTTTTGAGTTAAACCTGTTCTGGTACGAGCGGTTTGGTGACTGACGAGAGCACAGACATGAACACAAAGCCAGTTCTGCGGATAGTTGACTGGGAGGGACAGTTGATGTTTTGAATTGGGCTAAAATAAGTTTCGCAGCTCTTGCTGTCCTCAGACGAACGTTGCTTTGGATCAGTGCCCAACCATCATATTGATAACAAAACTAATATTATTTAGCTTTGACTGTTCTCAGTGGGAAGCTTGATGTGATCTGTGAGCAGATATGTTTTGTTTCACTCCAGGTACTTTTCCGTCTGAACTTCCTGGTCTTGGTGCTGTGTCTAGTAATGGACCGACCCTACCAGTTCTATTACTTTGTCCCTTTGGTCACCTTCTGGTTTGTGGTCATCTACTGCTCGCTGGCCGTGTGGCCTCAGATCCTTCAGAAGAAAGCCAACAGTAGGTGTCAGAAAGGTGTAGAGTCAAAATGTGAAGATGTGGACTACGTGAATCAATATTAAAGCTGTGATTGTGATCGTTGTCGTAGATGTTTGCAGCAGTATAAACTATTTACCAATGCCTGCCTTGTTTTCTGTGAAGGTAGTGGCTTGTGGCACTTTGGGGTCTTGGCAAAGTTACTCGCCCTCCTGCTGTTCATCTGCATCTTTGCCTTTTCACAGGTGGGTGGCGTGACAGCATTTCAATCCACCAGTCAGAATATCACCTTCAAATTTATCGTTGCAAATCAAATTAGACTTTTTTCTGACTTCATCTGAATGTTTTCAGTATATACAGCATATCTTTGCACACCACAACATGAGAGAAAATGTACCATGCTTTGAACTTTCAGATTGTTTTCAATCACACGTATGATTTTTTTTTTTTTTGCCCAACTAAGCTAAGCTTTAGGGACTAAAATTCATAGTCTGGTCTCTAGCTTGCTTTTTTTAATATTCATGTTTTGGTGTTTCCACACTTTCACAGGGTTTCTTTGAGCGAGTCTTCTCTGTTTGGCCCATCTCAGCGCTCTTTGAGCTAAACGGAAGCATCCACGAGTGGTGGTTCAGATGGAAGCTGGACCGATTTGTAAGTCAAATGTGTCTCACTCCAGCTGCACCCCATTTTCATAGTCAGTCTTTGTAACATATTGTTAGAAAAACTTGACAAAATCATTAACAGGACATTCATTTAAAATGCTTAAGTATGGCGCAAGAGTTGAAACTCATACAAACCAAGCATCAAGGCTACTCAAAGAATTCTTTAGCTGAGAGTAGGTGGCCCTCTCCTTGAGGGGGGGGAGGAGAGAGAGATTGCATTGTCATGATTGAAGGAGACTGAAGAGAAATGGTGTTTGCCCTTGGGCAATACAACTTTACAACATGGGTTCCTCGGGGAAAATACCCAGATCCTGGTTCACAAATCATTCTTAACATCTGTTTATCTCAGAACACCGTGTATCAGTCCAAGAGGTCACAGACTTTCTGTCCACCCAGGAAAACGATTGTCTTTCCCACACCTATCATGTGGTAATGCAAAGTACAACAGAGGTATTTTAAGCGGGACCACAGTGTGTAACGGGGTTTTCTGTGTTTGCAGGCGGTGATACACGGCATGTTGTTCGCCCTCCTCTATCTGGTGCTTCAGAAGCGCCAGGTGCTGTCGGAGGGCAAAGGAGAGGCACTCTTCTCTGCCAAGATGTCCAACCTGCTCCTCTTCCTGTCAGTCGTCTCCTTCATAGTAAGACATTCCACACATGGCCAGTACTTATTATTTGCATTAGCTTTCATGTCCTGTTTCTAAATGTTGTTTTTACTAAACCTACTGTATTCATGATCTGAATTCCGTATATTGCACATCTTTTTCCACCTGCTTGCATTTTGATTAAAACATGCTAACTTATCCCTCTCCCATTGTCTTCAGACCTACTCCATATGGGCCAGCAGCTGCAAAACCAAAACAGAGTGCAACGAGATGCATCCTTACATCTCTGTGGTCCAGGTATTATTTGTTTGATCCGTCCTTATAGTTAATGGTTAATCGCGGTATAGTTAATACCCCGATTTACCTCAACGTCATTCTCACGACATGCGAGTGCGACAATAAGGGCGGTTCCTTTCTTTGTTGCTAAAGATAGCACTGGTATGTGGGAATTTGACCTGGCGGTTGTTGCGTAACGTTGGACAATAAGACACGAGACCATGGAAAGCAAGACAAATAACCAATAGAAAAAGAACATGTGAAAGTGCAACTTTTTCATGACTAACTCTCTCTCACTCTGACTTGTGTTTGTGACTCCGTGTCTTCGACCCGCTGATTCAAATGGTAATAATCTCATAGGTCCTCACTCTCTGTTGTCCTCAGATTTTGGCCTTCATTCTCATTAGAAACATTCCCGGCTACGCCCGATCTGTATACAGCTCATTCTTTGCCTGGTTCGGAAAGATCTCCTTGGAGGTAAGCCAGTAACGCGGTAATCCTACATTGAAAGCCTGTTGTTCTGTAGTTGCATCAAAATCAAAAGACAAAGGGTGCAGCTAAAATGAGCTCAGCAGCTTTGTCTTATGTTCTGTAGCTCCCTGCAGGCACAACCACAGATTTCATTTTCCCTGTTGGATATGCTTTGTCTCCCCCAGCTGTTCATATGCCAGTACCACATCTGGCTCGCCGCAGACACCAAAGGCATTTTGGTCCTTATCCCAGGAAACCCTTCACTTAACATCATGGTCAGCACCTTCATCTTCGTCTGCGTGGCTCACGAGATTTCCCTCATCACCAATGATCTGGCCCAGGTGGTCATCCCCAAAGACAGCATGGCCCTGCTGAAAAGACTGGGGGCTGTTGGGCTCCTCGGTCTAGTTTTGTTGCTGCTGACCATGGGCAGCCACGCCTGATGGACACCTCTGGACGGGGGGAAGGAGGGGGGGCACACAACAGACTTGCCAAGCACCCTGCTGAGGTTGACGTCTGCATCCAAGCCAGGCCCAGAGCAGGCCCAGTGTTTTTTAGCCGACTGTTGTCCACAGGGGACAACCTCGACTGTGTCCGGGGAATACACGGGAACCCGAGGAGGTGGGGGGGGGCTCTCTGCCGCCCACGTTTGAGCAGTACTGTGTTTGACTGCTGTGAAAGTCGCACACTGAACGAAAGCAGTCGCTCTTTCCCAATCGCAAAGACTGAAGCGCTCAATAAGTTTACATTATGTGGATTCGGTGGAAGAGCAGAGACGACATTCGGACATTTTATGTTAAACAAAAAGCGTTTTTCTTTTTAGGACCTCATGCTTGCTCTGTGAATATTTGCAGCGTCGCTTACAATTTAGCCAAACATTAATAGATGGGGGGTTTTGCCACATACAGCACTTCCTCCATCCACTCGGCAGTGACAGTTGAAGGGGTTTTCACTCAGGATCCATGGTCTACATATTCAGATATCTTTGGGGGGAGGAAATGAGGGAAATCCATTTTACTATCAAAGCGTCTTTTTGTATGGTGTCTCTGGGGACTAAAAAAGTTAAGATATCTAAATGTGCGAAATATGGACCAACAACTGACTTGGGTAATCTAAAAATTGTCCAGACTAAAGTGAAAATTCGGAGTGCAGTTGTTGAAAAGTTGTTTTCCTTTCGACATATTTTTGATAATGGTTTTTCTGAGGTGATTTTAGAAACGTTTGTCCTGGGCTAGAAGACACCGTCGCCACCTGCTCGAGCTCTGAAATTCTATGTGATATGTACAGTATTTAATGATTTAAATTATGTTTATATTTTATAAGGGTTTTCTGTTTTGATTTTGTACTTTTCGCTCATGACTGGCTGCTTGGGAAGGACGTCCTACAGGGATCACTCTACCCATCCCGCAGATAATCACTCAGACGCACTGCGAGGTCGAGCCTGTACAGCCTGACACTCGTCCGTCCTATTCGCGCATTACATAGTCTGTGTATTAGAATAGTATGACTGGGTGAGGGACTTTATTTTGAAAAGCAGTACTTAACCAGTGTTTTTAACCCTCCTATAGGGGTTATTAAAAACATGCCTCTCTAGCTCTGGTGGAAAACGCACTGGCTTCATATATTATTGTGGAATAGGAATAACCTCTAAATACACATGCTCCCTCTGCTGTAGCACACTTTTGGTCAGTGGATGGTGGCTTACAAGTACGCAGCATCTGGGATGTAGCCTGTTGACCCTTTTTTGTATCCGGGCTCAACCGACTTTTAAAACGACTCAAGTGATGCGCAGAATGAGCTGAGACCTATAACTCCCCTAAAGGAAAATATTGTATATTTTGTCAGCAGACAAATAGGTGATTTCCTCTTTGCCTATATATCCTCACAGACATTTAAGAGATATTCGCACTTTCATGTTTTCTTTCATTCTTAGCAGTGAAAAACAAACCTGTTTAACAACGTGCAGATGCTTTCTGTACTTCAGCACATTTTTATTAGGTAAATGTTTGGTCACTTAGCAAATGTATATTATAAGATACAAGCTGCACCACTTATAGATAAAAACATTTATTTTATTTACCATGGGGTGGTAGATTGCTTTGCAATATTTGTTTTGTTTTACAAATGTATGTCTCATAAAAAAAAAAAAGAATTAATTTCTTTGCAGTGGAACAATTTGTCTACAGCTTTTGCATCTTTTCGTGTCAGTTATCGGATGTGCAGCCTCTGTTGGGTTCTCCAAATAAGAGCAAAGAAAATGTGTAATTTCTATAACCAATCATCGCCTCATTGTATAGATGAAAATCTCCCTTTCCTTGATGCAATTTCCGTTCCTATATGATGTTTACTGATCAACCGCTATAAATTAGTTAAACGTTTCAGGCCTTAATAGATATTTTTGGTCACGTAAAAGCAACAAATATTAACACCCCTGTTTGAAATGTTACATGTACGTTTTTCTGTGATGTCTTAAAAATGTCAAACGGATACATATTATTTATAAATGCCTTTATGCTGTTGTACATTGTTAATAATACCTTCATAAAATCTGCTTTTCATGTAATTTAGACATTAAATGTGTCTTTTTGTGTAAAAACAATGGTTACAGTAAAAATACTTTTCTCAAAAGAATTTATTGTTACCATGTGACACATTACATATAATTAATAACACTTAACAACTGAAGCGCTTCAATGTAAAACTCCCTTTTCCTCCTGATCGTTTCATTGTGCAAAGCAAGTACAAATCCAAATCCAAACATTTATAAATATTTCAAAATATTCTACTGTGTTTTTAATCTCTTGAACATGAAGTATAAATCGCTGTGAAGACACATCTGAGGCATGCAGATTGGCACAAGTGTTAGAAAAAACAAAAATATAGATATGAAAAGCTCCAACACCGGTCGTCTCTGGTCACAAATCCAGCGCTTCAGCCACCTTTCTCTCCTCAGGAATACCATTTACCTACGTTTGAATAGGAAAACAAACTTTAAGCTCGGCCCTTTCACGGCAGCCAACATTATCCAAAATATCTCCACGTTTTGTTTTTGAAAATCATGAATTATCTGTGAGCTAATTCATGGGCGGAATGCGGCACCTACCTCCAGCCTTCGAAATGTCGACATGACATAACTATCTCCTTTTGTTAGCAGTGAACAGAGAGAGCGGCAGGTTAGTCACGCGGCTGACAGGAGGGTGACCACGCGCGCCAACACCCGTACGCATCACACGCCCTAAATAATCCGTGTCCGATTAAATAAGGTGTGGATGCGAGTGTTTTTACAGAGATGGAGATCGGGTCGGGTGGAGGCGGCGAAAAGTAACATCACATCATAATCATCTTATTCAATGTGGAAGTATGTCAGAACCCCCCCGATCATCTCGAAATGTGGAAGGGAGTACCAACCTGATGGCCGTTGCTGTGGTATCGTAATCTGGTTTTGCAGATTCCTGAAATAGTGAACAGCGTTATTATGGTAAACAGACATTCAAATGCATTGCACAAGCTTTTAGTATCATGTGTTGTTTCAAGCTCATTAAGAAAAATCACGGGACGGCTTGAACCTCTTAAGCTTTTATTTTTCTAAAAGCACCGACTGGCTCGCTGCAGCTTTAGCCGCAAACATTCTGCTGTTTGGATAATAACGGTATTGTTTATGCTTCTATTTCCCCTTAAATTATTGCGCCTCTTAGCCATACATCTGCGTGCCTGCTAATGAGCACGCTGCACATTCCCCCTCCACCAAAACCAAAACAATCGCTGGGCTCACGTCTGTGTCTGCATGAGGGGCATGCTGGTGGTCTCGTAGTTGTCCGGGTGGATGGGCGGCACCACCTCGCCGCTGACCGGGTTGAAGACGGGCAGGGTGGAGAGGGGCCAGGAGATCTCCCGGTTCTTAGACATGCTGCGCAGCTCCTTGGTGGACTTCTGGATGGAGCCGTGGTGAACCAGCTGGATGCTGGAGGGAGTGGGGGAGGGGGGGGGGGGGAGGCGGTGAGGAAGACGTGCATAGCAACCTGTGTTTGTCGTGGTGCGTCTGACCTGAAAAGCACAACTTAACGCGGTTGAATTTGCCCTCGACTTGTATCAGATTCAGACTTGATTCATGCGCGCACGAGACCGACGTGACCTCCACGCTTCCCTATCGCTTCGACTCACTTTGCCGTGTCCGACTTTAAATGTGATATAAGTTCTAATTGCTTTATTTCTTTTTGAGCAGCCCATCGGGTGAACGGATGTCAACACACAGATGAGCACATGAATGGTCATGAGAAAGCCGTCAATGACGACATACATGATAAAACTGCAAACTAAAGAGAGAGAGAGAGAGAGAGAGAGAGAGAGAGAGAGGGGGGGGGGCAGAGACAGACCCCAAAAAAAGGAAAACACAGGAGAGGTGAAAACACTTACTCTGGTGTTTGCATGTTTCTTTTTTCCCTAGAAACAAAACAAAATGGATGAATTAAAATACTAATATTAATAGTTGAAGAGACATCTACACACATGTGAATGGATCGTCGGGTGAAGACAATGTGGGTGGGGGTGGGGGTGGGGATGATGGAGAATGATGAAAGGATTTATCGTGGATGATTGGCTATGGACGCCATGGCTACAGCTCCAAAACACCAAGATGTACGTGACGGAATTAACAAAAAGCTGAGACGGATATTCATGAGGAACCGAATGTAAACGGGCCGTACAACCAGATGGTAATGAACCGGCTGCAGCTCCAGGTCCAGATTATTGGTGCTATCTAAACATCCTACACTTTCCATCCTGTCTCAATGGGTTTTCATATATTTACGCGTGTGTTGTATGTGTTCCAATGTTGAAGTAAGACCGAGCGCACTTACACCCCTTCCCGTCGGCAGCACATAGTGTAGCCGAGGATGAAGAACAGCACCAGAGCCACAGCGGAGGGAACCGCCAGTGTGATGAGGAAGTCTGAGAAGTAGTTCCGGCCCATCAGGGACTCAGAGGGCGGGTTGTACTCCCCGAATTCAGGCAGCACCCCGGTTCCCGGCTCGGAACGGGTAATGTACACCGGGACCACTTTGTTGATGTCGACCTGAAGAGATGAGTCCAAGTTAATTCAGCGTTTATAATCAAAAAGTTTGACCGGAAGTTCAAACCCAGCACAAGGCGGTCCGAACCAGAGAGATCTTGCACCAGTCGATGTGAAAATGAGCCCTGAACTTCTTGTCGCAGCTGATGGCGGGCTCCATCTCCTGGCTGCAGCGAAGCTGGTTGTGCGGGCTTTCCACCTCCCGCAAGCACGAGGAGAAGGGAACATCAGCGCCAACCATCACGTACACTCTGGGGGGAGAGGAACAGGACAGTGTCTTGTCAGTGCTGACGGCCAAGTGGGCTCATCTAACCACGGCGAAAGCGTGGATCCCCGGGCCCCAATTAATTGAAATAGCAGCATGATGCGAGTGGGCTGAAGATAGCAGTTTTTTGGGGCTGAGAAAGGGAAGAGGCGACAGTAGACGAAATCATTACGGCTGTTACACCTCATGCCGATTGCCAATTGCGAGTCGTTGCGAGGAATCCTACGAAAATCCTTTTAAAAAAGGAGACAGATTTAGCTGCATCCTTCAGAAAACATCCCTCACCCCTCTTTGAGGTCGTTGATGGGCAGGGGCACACGGCCGCCGCGGTCCAGCGCCGAGGTGATGTTTATGGCGTTGAGGCGCTCGGGCTGCCACACGTTCTTCACCGCCCCCAGGAAGTCGCCCAGCACCTCGCTGGCCAGCATCTCCTCCACGTTCATGTTGCGGATGTAAAACTCCGCCTGGTAGGGCAGAGGGAACTCTGTGGACAACAGGGACGAGGAAGAGAACAAGGCGAGTGAGACATCGTCGACGCTCTACTGCTGCCGCAACGCACGACACCGACTCCGCCGGCTTGTCCGCGTTTGCCGCGCCGGGGACGGATGGCGGATGACATCGTGCAAGGAGGTGACGTGCTGTCTGTCAAACACACAGCGGCAGAGATGTGTGATCCGCAGGAACGGCTGCTTCCTGCAGACCCGCCGTAATAATTGATAACCCTGAATTCATGTACTAAAACGGGCCTGTGTGTTTGTAGAAGCCAGTATAATAGATTCAGTATGAAACGTTGGTTACATCACTACGATACATATTCCTGCATGTGCTCCTCTGAAACCTCTGGATTCACTGAGGCGAGTTGCACAGCCCGACGCCCGGTTGCCCGGAGCGGCCCCCCGTTGACGCTGCTTACCTTCCGTGGCCATGATGTTGACGACCAAGTTGTGCCGTGCCGTCTCGAAAGTGCGTCTGTTGTAGGCGGTAATCTGCAACGCACACGACGAAAGTTTAAGCCCGGATCAGTGCGGCTTACGCGGCAGCAGCAGCCCTTTGGACGAGGCTGAGCGGGATGCACTGTGTGGGCCATGTGCCCAACTGAGACGCCGTAGAGACGGTGCGAGCGCTAAGCCTTCTGGGAAAAGAATTTCTACAGTAGCTTATGGGCAAAGAAAGCATTAAGAAAAAAAAAAAAACATGATGGAATTCAAATCCAAAGACTAACACTGGACTATGCTACTACTAAATACATCCAAATCCAACGAATCACGTGTGCCTCTTTGGTTCTAACTACAAATGCGTGATGGTGTCTTCCGTCTAACCGCTTCTAGTCCAACGGCTTCCTGTTGCGCAACACACGCTTGTGCGGCGACCACACGCACCTCTATGACGGAGGGCTTGCCCACGTGCTCGGCGGTGGGCGAGCCGTACAGCACTCCGTCGCTTCGCTGGGTCCTCTGGATGTAGCGCAGCCAGCCCGGCCTGTCGGGGTAGCCCATTAGGTTGGTGTTGAAAGTGATCGGGTCACTGCTGGCGTCACCTGCAGGACGGAGCCGATGTGGTAATGAGCACTCAGAGCCATTCGGCTGAATTGTAAGATGTGACGGTGCTGTACCTGATTTGGGGTAGGGAGGAAACTCTCCTTTGAAGTGCTCTCGCTCCAGAACGTGGACAAACAGCACTCCCGCGGACGGGTAGACGTTCCGATCGGCGTGTGATCTCGACAAGATGGTGACCACTGAAACGAAGGTTTTCGGTAAAGAAAAAAGAAAAAGGTGAAAATGAGCTCCTTTTATCACACTAACGCCCTGCCGGCAGCTCTAATCAGCAAAATAATGAGACGGCGTTAATGAGGCAAGCGTTTTACAAGCACCTGCTAAACCTTCTTCACGCGTTGCAAAATCAATACCGCCCACAATAATAGATTTGTCTACTCTTCTTAGTTCGCTGCTGGGTTCTCTCGAACGTAAACGCATCCTCTTGCCATGAAGACGCAGAGCAGGAACGACAAACGTGATTTTGTAGATGAAGCTGCCCGAAGCAGAAGGATGAGTTTTCAGTGCCAAGGAGCCGCCGCGGCACTCTGGGTAGAATCAGCAGTAATGTGACAGCACAGAGTTGTTTCCACCCCCCCCCCATCGTGCTCTTTATGCCTACTCTGTTTCAAACATGAAGGGCAACGTGACGGAAATGGCGGCCCGTTAACAAAAAGTTGTGTTGCCGAGCCCCTCTCCTGCTTTTTGGCCTACTGTCTCATCATCCCCTTAGCATATAACTACCATTAATACATCGGGTCTTCTATTGCTGAACGAAGTAGTAAAGCAGGATTAACATTTCAATCCGTGTCGGTGAAGAAGACGTCGCTGTGTGATCTGTGGTTGTTAAGCGTTATCTATTACCAGGGTGCACAAAGCCGTTACAGGAGATTAGGTGGCGCGTTGAGCTGCAGATTATTAAGGAAGTCCACATCTACGGAGGCGATCTAAGCGCGCTGGTGAGCTGCAGCAAGTGTTACAAAACGCTCCCTTGTGCACGTTGAACTGGGCTACATCTGTGGCCGGGGCCGGAGACGCTGAGCCGGCCATATGTCCGATGTCCCCGAGGGCTCCGTCACAGCCAGATGCAATCAATAGAATTCGGCGGCGACTGAATGGGACTGTTGCCCGAGGTTTATTATATCCACCACGTCTCCTCCCAAGAGGGGATTAAGGCGACCGCCCAAGCATGACTTGACCCCCCACTCCGTCTCCCACCTTGCACAACTGCCGCCGAAGACACGAGGACCCCGGGTTCTTCAGCGACCGAGAGCTAAAACCTCATTTGGGCCTCATCGGGGTTTTTTCCGCCACACAAAGGGCCGCAGTCACCCACTGCAGCGCTGGCTGCGCCGCTCTGCTCGGAGGCAAACGAGGGGGCACAGATGGCCCCCCGCTCTCACCTCATTGGTCTGCGGCGTAGGGAAACGACCTTTGGGATGCGAGACGCGTTTTGTCCCGTCGACGATTCAAGATTTCATTGGACAAGAGGCGTTTAGGCCCGACGCTCGCTCTTGGCTGTTGTTCCGCCCTCGCTTTGTGAACGCAGGTCTTTTCCATTCAGACCAGCCGTCTGGTGTAGGTAAAGATCACTAACTAAGCTACGCTGCTAAGCTAAGCCTACTTATTTGCGGCGTGCTGACTTTCTGCCAAGCCGTCTCGAGATGATGGTGACAGTGCTCCTACAGTACATAATACATCACCAATTAAAAGTTAATACTTGAGCGTCAGCTGCAGGCTGACCTGTGGCCTCCGGCTGCAGGACCATCGCAGACTACAGACAAGTGCACGATGATACACACGACGAGTTACACATACAAACCAGCCTTCAGGTGTTCGCCACACGTCCTAAAGAAACGGGTGTACTTGGTGCTTGATAGATGACCACTGGCATGCTCACGGGCGTAAATGCCTAACCGCGTTTGCTGCCGGGTTGACCTTGGACCGGCTGAAGTCCTCGGGAGTGACGCCTTAAAAAATGCCATTGGGAGCGCGCAGAGGACAGACCACCCTCGTCCCTCTCGTGGCCACCAGCTAACAGAGGCAGAAGCAAGGGAGGGATCTCCTTTGGTTCTGTGGAACCAGCTACGTGCGTGCATGCTGTCGATCAGGAGGATGCATGTGCTTCTCGGCTGTTTAGCGGGGAGAACAAGGATCGCCACTGTTTGGACCGCGGTTTGAGCCTTGTTTTTCTACCCGCAGACCTGGAAGTGAAAGTAGTCGGGTGTCACAACCAGAGGAAGGCTTAAGTTACGGGAAGGAGTGGACACGAAAACAGCCGGCTGAGTCTTCACTGCAGAGGTCAGTAAAACTTTTCATTTCGGCCCGAAGCGGCTGTTGTGACGCTCCGCGATCCGCCGCGGTGCCATAAAGTGCCTGCATCATGTTAAACTGTGTCTCTCACGGTTAATGATTTTAGGGTCAGTTCTACTTCAAGCAGGGACAAGCAACGCTGCTGTTACAGCCAACGCAAGTGGGCCAAGTCTGTGGGACAGCAGCCACGCTGGCGACAATAAAGGGCACAGTATTAATGGGGCACCGGTTGAGCGTGTCATTGTGTGTTACGACCGGGGCGGGAGGGAGGGAGGGATGGGGGGGGGGGGGCATAGACGGGCAACGGGTCAACACATGAGGTGCACCACTGCACAACGCCCACTCACCGTCTCTGTACGGGGACGTTCTCCACTTCGAGCCCCCCGTGGATCGCTCCATGGGGGCATTTCTCTCCACGTGTTCCACGTGGTAGGCATGCACAATGTGAGCTATTGGGTCATTGAATGAAAGCACGGATGGGACAAGTGTTTGGGCCAAAGGGGGTTCTGAGTTATGCCTTCAGTTTGCTGCCAGTGTATTAGGTACTCGCTGGAAATTTGAGGAAATTGCACTTTCTTGTTTCTTGTTCTCCTGAGTTTGTACCCTATGGTTGAATGCACTTATTGTACGTCGCTTTGGATAAAAGCGTCCGCTAAATGACATGTAATGTAATGTAATAGTGCAGTCTAATACACTAGCTGGGCTTCTTCCATGAATCTATTTTATTTGTTTTATATGACAGTAAACTTAACATCTTTTGTGTTAGTCAGACATTCTGTAGACTTCCTATAGAATTACGGATTAATCAAGGAGATAATGAACAGAATAACGGGATTAAACAAGCTAAAGTTCATGCTTCATGCTGTATTTATAAGTCAATAGGTGGATTCCTTGATTGTTAATGAATAAATGAAATGCAATTGTGAACAAAACTCCCAACATTTCAACCTCTATGAAGGCTTTTCCTTGTGTACCAAATAAACTGGCAACTGAAGGTACCACACAGACAATGTACAGCTCCGTAACATCATCCCTATCACACACATGTAACGTTAACTAGGGGCAATCTGAGCTGCTGAACTAGCGTTAGCTACCTAGTTATAACACACGGTATGCAACGTTACGTCCATCGTTGGTTGGACAGTATAATAATAACAGCAATAATACGTTGAATGCGTCCCGTTGGGGGCGGTACGGCTATCTTTGGCCGTCTCTCCTCATCAGCCTGTCGGGGTGGAAATAAATGAGCACAGTAGCTGCACAGCAGCATGCTAACTAGCTAGCTAGCTAGCTCAGTAGCCCGAATAACGTCACCGCATCAACAAAAAAAAAACCCCAAACCTCCCGGATCTTTAACCCGATTGAATCGATACGTACCCGTGCCGAGCCACACCGCGACGGCGGCAGCGGACATGGTGAACATCATCCGCGTAAATCTCGCATTAAAAAGGGCTTTTTATCTAATCGCCACTGGGATTGACTGCCATAATAATAAGCATCCTGCAGCATTCCTTCCTCCGCCTCCTCCCTCCGCTGGAAACACGCACCACTTCTCATTGGCTGAACATCTGGATGGAAAAAGATGGTTGTCCCCTGTAAAAAAAAAAAAAGGGGCAGAAACAACGTGTGATTCATAATAGGAGCCGTATGTCTACAGAAAGATGGTTGGTGGTGGAGTTTAAACGGTGCTCTTTATGGTGTTCTCTATTTCTGACCTAAGACAACATAGCGTGGTGTTGTTATGTTTCCATGGCTTGTTGATAACACACATTTACTCATTTGTCAGCTTGATCCGTTGATAATGCCTCCAAAATGTGGATCGAGACTTAAAAAGACACACACACACACTCTGCATCTTACTCACACGCATACCCCCTCTCCGGAGCGTGACCTCGTAAGGCCAGCTGTTATGAGGACAGACACATGTTTCAGAGGTCCACTCCAATCTGTCCGGACCCCCTGCAGAGCCAGCTCTGGTGGACAGATGGCCGTGTTTGGGCCCCTCGGCTGCGAGGCAGGCCTGCTAAAAGGGCTGTGGGACCCTCGATTCAACCCCCCCATGCTCCCTTAATGTTGGCTGTACCACTAAGAGAGTACAGAAAAGGATGCTCGTTCTGGCCCACGTGCTGACAGCTGGGTGGCTCTTGTTTGATAAGGGCGGATTTGAAAACTGGATTCCTGGCGTTGTGGTAAACACGCTGCCACCCATCCTGCGAGCTCTGCAGTGTGAGGCTGTTCTGTTCTCTCACCCTCCCTTTTAGCCCCGAAAGATTATTTTTAGGTTGCTTAGCAACATCTTCACATTGCCAACGATCGGTCCGCGTATGAGTGTATCACAAGAATCACTACATGCCTATATGCATGCGTTAATGAAGACGTTCCATCTTGGCATGAGCTTGAGACGGCGGACAAATGTGCCTGATATCTGATGTGGTAAATGTGAACTGATATGATATCAGTCCAACTCTATTCGGTCGTAGTGGAAAGTTTCTCAAATGCAACATTGCACTCTCTTCAGAAGTGAGGGCTGTTCTTAAATAAGGACAAACTGTGGTTTGAGTGGATCCGCGTTCCTTGTAGTTTGCCAGATTTAACACACCAAAGACGCTCTTTCATTTCGTTTTTGTTATTATCTAAATTCAAGATGCCGGAACTGAAAATGTGAAGGATCAGAAGTATCCACTGCATTAAAAGAACAAATGGGCTGTGTGTGAGTTCAGTATGGACTGAACTGGTTACATAACAAGGTAAATCACATATGTTGGCAGATTATACAACTGCACGCATTTATAGATTTACTTCATGAGATTTGAGAAAATGACGGATTAAGTCATACATATGCCTTTCTGCAGAATACGGTTCTCAGTGGCCTGGTGTGATTTCCAGGGGCTTTGTTTTCATTATGGCAAAATTAAAACATGTGCCCCCCTCTGAATCAATGCTCATCCGTATCCGAGCATAGATTGATGAAAGAGAGGAAGGACCACATGTTGTAAATCAGTCACCTAATTTCTCTAATCAGATTGAACTCACACGTGAAATCAAAGTTCACCTCATTTCCCTGACTACACCTCCCCCCATAAACTCCTCCAGGCCCCCTGGTGGTCCGCAGACCACCCTTTGAGACGCGTGGCTTTACAGCCAAGAGTGGTCCTCGCCTCTATCATCCCCACCCAAACCCCACCGATGAAAAAAAAAAAAAAAAAACAGCCACCGAGTGAAGTTGCAGTGCTCTGTGTCCCGGCTGCAGCGCACTGACCCCCCCCCCCCCGCACGGCGGCGGCTCGTCGGACCGAACCATTGGCGCAGTCCCCGGTTTTAGCACCTATCACGTGAGGGTTTACAATTCGCGACGCACTCGGTTTTTGCTTTCCTACGCGCCGCGGACGTAACAAAGCCCCCCAGCGCGGCTGAGCAGCTCTCGGTGAGATGAGCCCGACAAAATAGCATGGACTCCCCCCCCCCTTTCTCCTCCTCCTCCTCCTCTTCATAGCGCGACTGGGAGCATCGCCCACCGCCCGCAATGGCGCTGAAGCGGCTCCGCTGTGTGCAAACCCGTCTGTGAGCGGCGGTTCCGTCCCGGACAATTTCACGAGCGTGGGATAGAAATGTTTTTTTCTTCTTCTTTTTTTTTGGCAAAACCAGGTCGTTCGAGTTCAGCCTTCAGCCTTCTGGATTTCTTTTTCAATTATTATTTTTTTTTTAAATATTTGTATCACGCGTCGAAACGAAGCCACGGAGCCGTGCACGTAAGTCGGGCTCTTTTGTTTTTGTAACGTTGAAGCAGCCGCTCCGGGGGGGGTTCGTCACAACAGTTGACTGAAGTCTTTTATTAGTAGTAAAGAAAAGCCACGTCGTGTATTTTCCTCCAGCGTGCACACGCCTGCACAGGGTGGACAAATAGATGTTTAAAACACATCGGAAGGGAGAAACCTGAGAGCTGTCACGTTGTGGCTGATGTTCATCTCGTCCCACTGACACAATTCGTGAAAGCCTCGTTTTTCCTCTCAAACGTCTAACTTTATTTGCCCCCCCCCCGTGCTGAATCCCTCCGAGGCAGCAAAGGATGTTGGCCAAGTTCAAACGGACGTTTTTCTTTAGATTTCACCTCCATGTGCACGGGGCGTTTGGGCTTTAACCGCTGCTGCTGCTGCTGCTGCGTCCAATCCGGCACAGCTGAGATTAATGGATGATTTATGTCCCAGATGAATGTTTTTGTGTGCGTGTTATATTTCATCTTCCTCTCCGTGGGATGCATTCCAGGATTAAATATTAACGGCCGTAGGTATGGGATATTTAGCTACTATGCTAGCCTGCTCCTCTGCTTTAGTTTAAATGGTGGATGAAATTCAAGCCTTTTGGTTCATGAAATGTATTTTTCTGTTTTGGATGATATCGACACATTCTCCGCTGCATTCAACAGCATTTTATACGTGCAGTAAACATTGCAAATACCATGCAATGCTTTGTTTGGTGCTGGCATAATGTCAGCTATGGTATTGAGTGCAGTAGGATGTGGCAGCGTACACGGGTCACAGCTCACTGTAGGAAACAAGAGTGAGTGGGAGAGAATGAAAAATTGGCGGAAACATTAGAAAAGATATTCTCTGCGGTGCCTGTTTCAACATAAACATCTCAAACCTACAAATTCATCTGTACACCTACGTGTACAAATGAATTTGAGAAGGTAAACATTGGAGCCGCTCCATAAAGACAACATGATCAGAGTGCTTTCAGAGTCCGATTGGCACTCAAATCTCGTCCTCGTGTACTAAGAGCTTTTATATCATAAACCAGCCTCTTTGACTCCCATGTTTCACAATAGTGTTATTGATGGAAGGTGGAAACACCCTCTTTTCAGGCTTTATAATCATCATTTGGATTAGTAAGAGCCACTTTTAGTTTCTTTGACATTATTGATCACATGCACATGCTTGCTCTTTTGAACCCACTAAATCATGCAGAGTCACACCAAATGTTCCTATCACGCCTCCTTTTGTCTCCACAGGTATGAACGGGCCTAAAGACAACGGGTGGATCTGATCTGAAACGCTCAAACTAAACTCCTCACTTCCACATTCTAATGAGGCCACGGCGATGCTGACATGCCCTCTGAATCTTAAGAAATCATCATGCTGAAGACGGAGGCCTCGGGGGAGAGGACCAGCCTCCGGAGTGCCTCCCCCCACCGAAATGCATACAGGGCTGAATTTCAGGCACTCAAGAAGGCCTTCGACCAGCCTCGGATAGATCGAGACTCCAAGCCCAAGGACCTTGAACGCGTGAAACAGCAAAGGGGCCGCCAGTATGGCGGCCATGTCAGTCGCATTAAGGACATGTTCATGCAGATGGGCTCAGAAAATGTGCCGGATAAGGCCAAGAGCTGTGATGATTCCTCGCCACAAAAGTTGGTCAAGCCAACCAACTTCATCAACAAGGCCGATGGATCCGTGATTAAACTTCAGCATTCCATATCGGCTGACCGGGTCGGAGGGGCTGGAGCGAAGTTCTCCGAAACCAGGAAGCTGTTTGAGCAGCAGTCACGTGACCAGTCCCAATCCCCAGTCTTTCCATACGGACGTGACAAACGAGGTTCCCATGAGCACCTTGATGACTGGCGAGGTCCTAGATCTAATCGAGGCAGCACAGACTCCTTGGACTCACTGTGCTCAAGAGCAGAGGCGTCCTCGCCAACCGTCAGTCAACTGAGTGCTGTGTTTGAAAATACAGACCACGCGAATCATGGTGCGGCCTACAAAGGGGTCAGCAGACGGGCCCTCTACTCTCCAGACGGGGGCCACCGCCCTGGAGGTGACGTCAGTGAGGATGATTCGAGGCAGTCTCCAGTTCGTGGGAGCTCCCGGAGCAGGACTGGCGGGAAGTTTCCCCCGTCCTTGTCTTCTGAGGACATTCTGAGCGCCAGTCCTGGGACGGAGACCGCGACGCGGCAGAAACCGGCACCACGAGAGGAAGAGGCCCAAGACAAGTTGGAGCCCCAGGGCCGAGATAGGCGGCGGCTCTCTGGGGTCAGCACCAGCGGAGGCCAGGTGAACGGTTCATGTGAAGAAGAGGAGAAGCCGCCAGAAACGAGAAGAAATATTCCGGACGCAGGGGAGTCCGAAGCTTCCAAACCTACAGGCGATGAGGTAATCACTGACAAAGCTTTCGAAGACGCAACCCCTGAGCCAATGCCTCCAACAGGCGCACGAGCGGGGGAAAGCGGGGATGGTACAAGACGAGACAAGTCCTCTGACTCCCCCAAGGACCATGGGGAAGAACCTGACGAGGATTACGTTGGGAACGAGCGGGTGGTTTTTAACGCGGACGGAGATGCCTGTTACCAGGGTTGGGGGGAGAGCTGCACCGATCCCGAGGACGACCTCTACGGAGACGACGAGGACATCGTCTACGACCCGGGCTCTGGTCTCACGGAGATCCCCGGTCTGCCGCACGAAAACAAAGAGGACGTCCCTCCGATGAGGAAGATACGTTTCAGCACCGCCCCCATCACAGTAAGTCGGGTCCCGGACAAAAACTATGGTGGAAGCCTTAATTGTGTAAACAATCCAACATAAAAGGCTTTGTGCAGCTTCTATCTAAAGTAGGTTAGAAGAACAGAAAGCTAATAACGTATTCAGAGCTCCCTTTAAATGGACTCGCATTCATAGTTATTTTTGGACAACTGTTTGATGTAGTTTTATAATGACAAAATGATGTGACATAAGGACTCGTTATCCTCATAAGACGTTCATATTACTTGAACCTTTTTTGCGCTGTAATGCGTGCGGTGATACGAGAGATGAGATAGCAATTTGTTGCAGCTATTTCGTGATGCAGAGCGTGTGGGTCAAAGCTTCGCCCTCTGGGAAATTGACGTGTTCATGAGCTGAACATCTGTGCATGCGTTAGTCATGCTGGTTCTGCACCCACCCGGTTTTCACACATGATGCTGTGTTTGTTTTTCTGAAACTGCCCCATCGCTCTCATTTAAACAGGGGAGCCATAATTAAGGCAAGGCAAGGCAAGGCAAGGCAAGGCAATTTTATTTGTATAGCACTTTTCATACACAAGGCAGACTCAAAGTGCTTCACATTATAACATTTCATACAATAAAGTGAAATAAAATGCAGGAATTAAAAGACAATTAAAAACAGCAAATAAAATTATAAATTAAAATCTTATTTAAATTTTTTTTATTTTAATTTTGAAATTAATTCTCTGATATACTGGGAGCCAATGTAAGGATTTAAGAATTGGTGTAATGTGCTCACATTTTTTGGTCTTTGTTAGAACTCTAGCAGCAGCGTTCTGAACAAGCTGGAGCTGCCTGACAGTTTGTTTTGGAAGACCTGCAAGGAGACCATTACAATAGTCTAGCCTACTAGTTATAAAGGCATGTACAAGTGTTTCTAAGTCTTGAGCTGACATGAGCCCTCTAAGTCGTGCGACATTTTTGAGGTGGTAGTAGGCCGATTTTGTTACTGATTTGATGTGTAAACTACATCAATAAGGATATTATGCATTTCACTGGAAGAGAAAAATGAATCTGTTAAACACTGTATACACGGATTATAGCAGACATAGTGTGTATATGGTTACGAGTAAGTGAACTTGTTTTGTCCATTATACTCAGTGATATCAGCAGATGTATTCGCAAGAGATTTGTGTGATTTTTACCATCCATCCTGTGGGCATTTTCACTAATTACCCCACAATAAGGTTTTACTTAGAAATGCATCCTGTTCCCTGATACATTTTCCTGGTAACTTTTTACTTTAAATTATTGGAAGTACCGAATTTGTTCCTTCAAATGCCATAAACTAGTTTGATTCTGTTTTCTGTGCTGAATTGGGACACAATGCAGCCAGTGTTTGTGGATTGGGAAGATAGATTTGGAAGATTATGAAAAATATTTTTCAGTCTTATCCTTAAGCATTAGCATCCATAAGCTCAAAATGTGCAGTAGTAAAAAAAACATGGTTTGCCCTTTAACTTTTTTATCCTGTGTGGAACTTACGGTGAAATTTATTTTTATTCATGAGATATTCAGACTCTTGACATACAAGCAATATGGATGGATATGTGTGTGCGTGTGTGTGTGGACATGTGAAAGAGTGAGATTTATATATATATATATATATGTGAGATTTGGAACACAAACATTCCACAAGATGAGGATGAATCCTATTAACGTGCTGTAACGAACCAGAACAATTAGCCCAGTTACTCTGAGGAGAAAACATCACGTTGGCTCACTAATTGCTGTCTCTGCACTCTGTCTTTTGGCATCTTTCTCTTTTCCTAATAATATACATAACAAAAAACGCAAAATCCGCTTTTTATGATTCCAAAAATGTAGCCCATTTTGTATTCATCATACAGTGAAAGTGAAACAAAGCTTGTTGTCCCATTTAGGTCCAACAGGGGAATATGCTCCTCTGTTGTTGTCTGCCGCTTCAAGCCTTCGGTTTTCTATGAAATGAACAGACGCTCGTTCATCATATGGAATAATCAACAGAGGCACCGCCCCCCCCCCCCCATCCCCTCCCGTCCGCTGCTCCTTTACAATTAGACGTGCAACCCTCCCACTTCTTCACCGCATGCCCCCCCCTCCTCTCAGCACATGAGGAACAAACAGGGTTCTGTCTTTTGTCCGTCTACATAGTGAAAGGGACAAAGCTTTTCTCTAAGCCCTGCACGAGTCCAGCTTGACCCCTGGTGGGAGGAGAAGACCTTTTAAAAAAAAGAATAATAACTTTAAGTTCTCGCCCCTTCGTGTGGTAGTTCCTGGTCCTGCCCCGTAAAACAGATACATCATTTCAATATTCCAGTTTGGAAAGTTTAGTTCATTTTAGAAATCCTCGTGGCAGCCCCTGAGGGAAGATGACAAACAATTAGCTACAGCATCCTTTTTATAAACGCTAACTTGACATGTTTATGAATCTTTTTTTTTTTTTGGCCATAGTGGCAGCTTTGGTCTGTGGATGTGCTTTGGTCTAGCCCGAAATATCTCAACCGCTGGATGGATTATCCTCTACATCTGTAGTCAATGCAACCACAGGACGACTACTGACTGTAGGTTGTCCTCCAACCTTTCATCTAGTGCCAAGTTAAACTCTTTTAAGCTTTTTAGGAATTGTCTTTGCAACTATTAGATTGATTCCCACAACACTTGGTCATCATTTAGGAGTTCCTCTTACCTCTCGGCACCAGCATGTCAGCGTTTTCCCTCCCACTGTGAAATATTGTTACGTACTCAATCTACATGATGGATTGGTACTATTAAATAAAAATAAACCTGGTTATATAGACCAATATCCTTTTTCAAACGCTTAAAAATGTTCTATCCAGCAAAAAACAACCCAACAACCTACAAAACTGATGAAATTCAACATCAGCTGTACTTTTCCTGTACGTTTTTGCTCATTAGCAAATTGAGACTAAGATGATGAACATTACGCCTTAAAATAAAGTACTTTTTTTTGTTTCATCCACTAGTTATACTTCCACATCCTTCTTTCACTCAGCTGTAACAAAGGCAGCCAGCTCCCCCGAAGGCACAGACCTACGTAGGAGAATCACATCTCCCGTTCAGTCAGGGCAACGTGTTTCACCGCCGACATCAGGACCTCGGCTTGTTCGGTCTGAGGCACATAGAAGTAGATTCAGCCTCTCAGCACCTCTTGATGTCGCCTTGTCAGAGTACGTTCTGGGTTAGTTTAAAAAGATTCGGCCTTGATCGCAAACACCATCACCGTCACACACTTGTTGCAGATTTGTGTGTTATCCGTCTAGCTCTGCTGAACCGCACCCCAGTGTCCGAGAGACGAATTCTAGCCCCCCCTCCCTGCACGCATTCTGCTGTGTCAGTCTCCTCTTGTCTTCCTCTGCGACTCTCCTACGTGAACGGCATCCAGATCGGCATCCAGACCGGCGTCGCCGGGATGTCTTTACGGAATGAAGCGGATGTGATGCCGCTGTAATCGGCCCCTTCGCTTCTCTCGCGCTGAATCGACGAGGGCCGTCGGATTTTCCCGCTGCGTTGGCGTTGTGGAATGCCGAGTGGCACGGACCTGAGCTCAGGGCCGTAATCCATATGATGGACTTATGTGGCTCCTCCTGTGTTTTGACGGATGTGTTGTTCTGTTTTTAGGGAGGGTTGCGTTCATTCGCTTTTTATCTCCCGTGAACGGGGCCGTAGTTGAATATTTAGTTCACGTATTTAAAGGGATGTGAGGTCAACGCTGGGGAATATTAGGTCAATTAAATGACTCGTTTGCATTAGATCAGGGGCAGGCACCAAACTAGTGTCCCGCCCGTATTATTCTACTGAAAAGACAGCTATTAATAATGCACAGTGAATTATTGCCAATAAAAGCTTTACTGTAAACTCTGTAAACCTGATACGGGCTGATATCCGTTTGCTGTATGCGTGGTTTGAAACAGGCTACAACATATCAACACCTCTTGTACTGGAGCATGAAAGAACATGAAGGCAAAGTCAATGACGCTTAAAAACGGGGAACCCACCGACAGCCCTTAATGCTGTACATGGCAGAGCTTCCCTGCTGTACATGACTGTTTAAATCCAACGTACATGCATCAACAGAAAACATATGTGATCATCATCCTTATCTGGAGCATCAACTGGTCTAATGCTTCACAAGCTGAAATGAGATGGCTTCTAGCCAGGGACGTTCTGACTGTGTTTTTGATGGAAAGATTACTCTACCTAGGGGCAGCCTGTCTTTCTGGGCGACCGTATATGTGGTATTGACGTGGATGTTGGCAATGTCATTCGGAAATAATATTTAAGCCCTGCAGTGGCATTGCTGCTGCAGCTTTGCCGCGTTCAATATAGTTCAGTATTGCAGCGGATGCATTTTCAGCTAAAAATCCATTATGCACATTTCCGTATGTCTGCATCAACGTTATCTTCGAGAACAACTAGTGGCACTGATTGACTGCACATAAAAGGATACAGATATATTATATTATCGCAGTTGTGATATTTTATGTTATTTATTATTTTGCCTCTTCTGCCCCTGAAGTCTTGGGTTTTCTTTCTGTGGGAATAAAGCTCTAAATTACGCAACCTGTGTATAATGGGATAGAGTTTGGTAGAGCAGTGATCTAACCGCTGACATTTTAGTTAGAAAAGCAAAAACAGCGGCTGGCATCAGTCGCAGGTGCTTTGGTTAAGCTTTTTTTTGGGAGGATACATCGTGATTTACAGGTTGACTTGTGTGGGGACTCGATGTGTTATTAGCTGAAGAGGCAACTTTAAAAATCCTGCGCTGTTTTATAGGTGTCATAGATTTAGATTCAGCACAAGAAGGTATTTGTTTGCATCGTAGTCCAGCTGAATATCCCAAAGATCTTTTACTTCTCCTCTTATCACAGACAACTACTCCAAACTCTGGCAGTGGTCATGCACGTATTTGTGCGGGACTGCAGCGTAGTCACTCCATTATTGATGCTGTGGGTTTTTCTGTTTGCTTGTTTCGGTGCC